ATGTGCTGTCTAATTGATCCCGAACAATGAAGGCGACTTAACACGAGCACTCGATTTCTGAAAACAGCTCACGCTAATTCGGAATCGTTGAAGAGGAAAAACAAGGAACAACTGAAGCCCACGGGGTCTCGACGATGTCTCAAAAGGGTTAAGCATTCCGTGGGGGCGTGAGGAAAGAAGCTTAATGAGTTGGTGCCCTTTAATCAAAGAGGAGGCTTTATTATTAACGTTAATCAGCTTAATCGTGTGTTCTGCCGAGAGGGACTGAGCTGGGTCAACTCATGCGAATCGGTGGGGCTCGATTGGGTTGGTCATGTAGGAATTCAAATCGATCGTCAAAGGGTACGAGGACATTATTATTTGGTGAAGACGCAATGATCGCCAAGGTTGAAAATTGCGATGATGAGCTCCTTTCTCGTGCATGCATGCCATCAGATGGGCATGGCATGGAAGTACAGAGACTGTTTCGATGGGCGCTGAGACTTTTGTAATTCGTAATTATGGTATACGTTCGCTCTCACGATAAAATACGGATACGTAGAGAGAATTCGCATATTCCGCATGATTTCGTGGTATGTATCATTGTACGTTGCGTGGAGAAGATAGGTCCAGCCAGTTGTTGTACGAGTCCAGACCACTTCCCCAATGTCAATGCGCCACGTGCTGGTAGGGGCAACGCGTTTTATGGTCGTGCCACCATTGACTGTATTGAGAATTGTTGTATGGTGGGTCGGGATGAAAAGCCTTGTGAAGCAGCGCATCGTAGGAACGTGCGATAGAATTTGCGAAGCTAGTTCTACAAGAATAGATCAACGTTACGATTCGCTAAGTATATGTATATGATTAGATCCTACAGCATCTCCCCTTGTTTATCTATTTTCGCCTCTTCCCTCGATCCCCCACTTCCCGCCACCTTCGGGTTCGATCCCAGACCTTGGTGACCTCGATTCCAGGTCGTCCGAGGTGCTTGACCATGGATTTGATCGAGCTCAATCCAAGATCTCCGACGCCCCAAATCGGTTCTAAGTGCTTCGACGCCCTCAGGCGGCCTCAATCCGAAGACATGAGGGCTCAACGAGGTCTCGACAACCGCACTTATGTACTTTCGCTTATTGAAAGTTCTATCAAACATGTCCTGAAATTTTTATTTAATTCAGAAAGAGCTATGTCAGGCTATAAGATGAGCATCTAAGCAAGTGAATTATATTCAATACCCAACAATAATATGCCATGTCGCTTTATGAGTTAAATTTATCATGTATTGATGTTTTCAGCATTAAAAAGAAGTGTAAACATGACTTGAATATTCTAAGATACAATATCGGGACTAACGAGGCAGTATTGATGCAACAACAGACGTCAAAACTTCTCGATCGATGCGATGGGAAAAGTTCTAAATCCTCACATACGCTCTCCATCCTTGATTTCACCTAGTGTGGATGTGAAGATGAGTGACCAGATTTGATGCACCAAAGAATTTTGTACCTCTGTATTTATGACCCCCAAAGTCCTATGAGATTGCAATGAAACCCAGTGTTGCAAAAGTAATGACTTTTTCGCAATCAATCGTTGATTTGAGTATTGCTTTTTCTGAAAGGGAGGGATCGGGTTTGACTGCCGTAAATTGGATCGGATCTAGAAGCGGATGCAAACTTTATAATCTAAGGTTGTAAAAGCGTAGGGTCAAGATCAAAACAGGTTGCAAGAAATTTCAATAATATAATACACCATTGATTAAAATTGTACCAAACACCCGATCGCCCTGAGGGTGACGGCACCCACTAGCCCTACCCGCTAGGTCCATCTCTAATTGGGTTATCACAGACGACACCATATGAGTAAATCCGTGAGAAGTATGTAATTTAGATAGCCTCCTCATCGGAGTTGTGTCCTACGTTATACGAGGGGATTTTTTGTCCAAAATTCCATGTGTAGCGCGATAGGAAAACGTTATGTGATACATAAGCAGTGTAGGTCATCTCTCAATAATTACCGCTCGAGCTCGGCTCAAATGAAACGGGTCGAGCCGTAGCAGGTTTCGTCCCAGGTTCACGAGGGACATAAATTTAAAAAAAAAGAAAAAGAAACGAAGACTTCTTATCAGTTTTAATCGATGGGTCAAAGGAATCTATTCAGAAAAACTTTCACTTTCTTCTCTCCCTTGCTTTTGGCAATAACAGACAGGACCTCGACCGGAGACGACACTGCCTGCTCTTTCAAAGATTCGCTCGTGCACCGCAAAGATCTACTACCGTAGCTGTCAGAGACCCTTCTGTATCTGTAGTTATTCGCAACCGAACGAAGAAGAGGAAGAAGAGGAGGAGCACGAGAGCTCAAAGTGCGCGCACAGCACAGCACAGCACGAAACCGCAATCGAGATCACAACTGTGCTGGTCAGGGCGTTGTCCGACCGGTCCACGCAGGCCGGGTCAGTCTCGCCACCCTCTCTTTTCCACACACACTCATTCCACCATATCCCCTTCCCCCCCAAAAGCATTTGCTGTCAGATGCAAAACCCACTTTCTGTACAATTCGCATGTTTCTATAAAGGAAAAAAAAACAAAAGAGAGAAAGCTTCTCCATTCTTACCTCTTTTTAAGGATAACGGCACAGGTCTCTAAATTTTGATTCAATGTATATTCTGATTACCGAACTTTTAATTTGTTCAATATTGTCCATGAACTTTGCCGAGATGTGTAATGTGATCCCTAAACTTTTAATTTGTGCAATATGATCCCTGAACTTGTAGTAGATGTTGAAAATACTCAATATTGTACATTAAACTAAATTGAACATGTACCAAAAGTTCATGAGCCACATTGAACAATTTAAAAGTTCAGGAATCGCATTGCACATCGGGTTAAAGTTCAGGGATCGCATTAAACAAATTAAAAGTTCATAAACTACATTGCACTTTGGGTCAAATTTCAGGGATCATTTGTATTATTTTCCCTCTTTTTATTTGATTTATTTTCTTGAATTTTAGACTAACGATGGTCTCAATTGAGGGGGGGACAACATGTCCCTTCAAGTGGAGGGGCGCATATCAGAACCCAACCCCTTGCAAACCTCAGTGGGTATTTAACTATTGATTAGTGTTAACCTTTTGCATATGAAAGAGGATCAACATGCCATGAATGAATCTAGTGTCCATTGAGTTTGATTAAGAAATTCCATAAAGCGAGCATGGCCTAATCTATGTTGAGAATTCCGCAAAAAAAGTTTCCTAGAAAGAAGGATATTGCCCGTGCTCACTCCTACTTGTATAATATCCACCATTAGAAAAGGTGGGATCAACAATTATGAATTAAACAGTTTGTTGTCTTCTACTAGATCAATACAAGGTGGACCCTATAATTGCGAAAGGAAAATGGGGAATTTTTTTTTTTTAAAGACATCACTCCTGCTCTTTTCACTAGCTTATCAATTTCACATTTTCTCTTTTTACAGCTCTCAAAATCGCATTGTAAAACGGAAATGTATGGTCGAGAAGACCAAATTACTCTTCCTCTGTAATAGTAACCGCTCGCCGCATTGGCCGACGCTTGATGCCATCGATCGTTATTGCCGATGCCGGCACCACCTACCGTAAGCAACGTATGGAGCTAATCAGGAATCCTCCCAATACTTTCACAAGCTTATTTTTCCGTCTCGGTACATTAGATCGATGGTATTGTCATGACTCACCTGAAGTTTACACCGCAGCCCACATCGATTTTACATATTTATGATGGGTTTGGATCTGTTGCAAATCCAAGTTTAGTGGCTTAGGCTAAACCACGAGTGTGCTATCTAAAGGCTACTATTGATTTTGAAGAATATCTTCTTCTTCTTCTTCTTTTGATGAGGGGGGGTTCTAATTATTGAGACAAAATGATAAAATTATGTGGACAAGAAAAATCCATCATACATGTATACAATAAAGTCCAATGTATCGTAATTATATAAATATATTTATATACACATATAAATTTATATGTATGGAGGATGTGAAGGCATGGGACATGGGGGTTCCCCACATCCCCCTCGTGTGCGCGCTATCCATCGATGGCGGCTTCACTCACCTCCATTATCATCATTAAGAGCATGCTGCCAAAACAGAAGCCTTTTCTCCTTTTCTAATTCCTCACAATATTTATATCTCAAAGTCCAATAAAGATGCTGTTAGATTTAATTAATTCCGTGATATTATCTAGACTCGTTTACACAAGACCACATCAATTCATACCCGGTTATCGAATATCCATAGATTTAAACTGAATCTCGTAAAAAATTATTGTTTTAAAAACCTCAAACTATGTTCATTGTCACGTTTGTAATATTAAAAATCTCAAATTATACATCCCGTGACACATTTAACATGGACTTTTTTCGTGACATAAAAAACTCCAAATTTATGCATATGTGACATATTTATCCTCTATCAAAGTTCTGTTCGATAATTTTTCAGTCAAAACATTAATTTTATTTCTTTTAAACCACGTGAACGCCATGTCAACAAAGTTTGCTTTTCGGCGTTAATGCAAACAGATTTTTAACGGTCCTCATTGAGAGAGCTTTGACGGAGAGTAATACATAGGTACAAATTTGAGGTTTATGTGTCACGGTGGTGGGTGTATTTTGAGATTTTTTTTTTGGCTTTTGGCATTTTTTTTTAAAACTAAGATTGATTTTTTCTATGATACTGTTCATAAAATGAATGTACGGGGCAAGTGAATCTTTGAATTTATAACGTGAAGTGCGATCGGGGGTTGTCATGTCAGACTAGAGAAAGGCAGAGAATGTGGGAGACAACCAAAAACATTTGAAGGGGTCCCATCCGCATAGTTGACACAACATCTCCTTTTTAGGTCCCATGTGGGGTTTACTCCCTACACTCTATCTCTCTACTACTACTACTACTACTGCAATACACTACGCATTAGCCATTTGCCTCTCCCTCTCTTCTAATATTTATATCCCCCCAACCCTAAGCCTACCACTCCATCAACCTTTTCCCCTTCCTCCCTTCCTCCTAGCGTTTCTTTGAATTTTACCCTCCTCCTCCTCCTCCTCCTCCTTCTTCTTGTTGTTTTCGTCCCGGTCGAATTATGGCCGACGCCGGTGCGGGATCGGCCAGAAGGATGTGGTGCTCGGTGCCGGAGCGGCTCCAGCTGCACATGGCCATGCTGGCCTTGCAGTTTGGCTACGCCGGGTTCCATGTGGTCTCGAGGGCCGCCCTCAACATGGGCATCAGCAAGATAGTGTTCATCGTCTACCGGAACGTCATCGCCTTCCTCTTGCTCGCCCCCTTCGCTTACTTTCTCGAGAAGTGCGTTTACCCGGCTGCTCGACATGGCTAAATGCTGTCTTACTTGTTCCGTAGCTCGTAAACGATGTGATGATCAATGACATTTCCTTCTCTTCTCTTATTTTCTTCTTGGTCCAGGAAAGAGAGGCCGGCGATCACTCTGAACTTCCTCGTTCAGTTCTTTCTTCTAGCGCTCGTTGGGTAATGATTTGATCAGATGATTTAACGACACCCCACGAGTTGATTTGTTCAGCATCTTAGGTCTTGCATGTATCTTGGCTAGTGCTTATAAGATGATAAAAGGTTTCGATGTACGTAATATTGGCAGGATCACAGCGAACCAAGGATTCTACTTGTTGGGACTTGACAACACTTCGCCGACATTCGCATCCGCGATTCAGAACTCAGTCCCCGCCATTACTTTTCTGATGGCCGCCGTACTCAGGCAAGCTCAAACTTACAACATCGAACATATTTCATGACTTAACCATGTTTGTCTCAAAGCTTATCAGCCAAGTATGAATATTGAAAACCAAACAAGTTTCCCCAGAATGATCGTGTGCATTTAGTCAGTTAGTTGCGGCTTCTGAAATCTCAGTCTCTTCTGATTTTCAGGATAGAGAAGGTGCGGTTGGACCGGAAGGACGGCATCGCCAAGGTCCTGGGGACCGCGTTCTGCGTCGCGGGGGCCTCGGTGATCACGCTGTACAAGGGGCCCACCATATACAGCCCGGCGCCGCCGCTTCATGCGGCAGCGGGTCCAGTGTGGCGGCCGACGCTGGCGCTCGGGGACGCGGAGGGCAAGAACTGGACGCTGGGGTGCGTGTACCTGATCGGCCACTGCCTGTCGTGGTCCGGGTGGCTGGTGCTGCAAGCGCCGGTGCTGAAGAAGTACCCGGCCCGCCTCTCCGTCACGTCCTACACCTGCTTCTTCGGCCTCCTCCAGTTCCTCGTCATCTCGGCCTTCATCGAGCGGAACGCCAGCGCTTGGCTCGTCCACACCGGGGCCGAGGTCTTCAGCATCTTCTATGCGGTGAGATATTCGAATCTTCAGTGCTGTTTATCTTTTTTGAATCGTTCTTTTTCTGGGGGGGGGGGGGGGCTGGCTTCGGTCGAAGAAGACTACAAAAGCAAAAAGCTCTTTCCTTCCTTCTTTCTCGCCCATCTTTGTTGCCTTTCCTTTTCCTCCCTCGTGGCTTTGTTTTAGTTGGGACGTAACAATAATGTGGGGAGGTGGTGGTGGTGGGGGCAAAGTTCATAAAGATTTATCAGCTGAGTAAAGAAAGGCCTTCAATCAAATTAAGAAAAGAAGCTGAGAAGATTAGCAAAACGTTCGATCCGTGGACATGATTGATGATCTGTATAACATGTGTGCTTTGTTGTGCGAATGTATGCTATGCAGGGAGTGGTCGCGTCGGGGATCGCATTCGCCGTGCAGATATGGTGCATCGACAGAGGCGGCCCGGTGTTCGTGGCCGTGTACCAGCCCGTCCAGACCCTCGTCGTCGCCATCATGGCCTCCATTGCCCTCGGCGAGCAGTTCTACTTGGGCGGGTATGTGATGCATTCCCACACTGTCCGAAATCTCATTACATCGACGCGACACGTGCATCATGATTAAACCACCCAAACTAATAGAAACCAAAAGTGGACCTTATGTACTCGTCCCGCATGTAAATCAATCCGTCCAATCTCTTAGGAATACCCAGATTCGCATAATCAAAACCAACAATTTAGACGGCCACAGACATCGAAAAGACCAATTTGAGAGACATTTCGGGCGTCTCTCGGGTATGAAGTTCACCCGAGCCACTGATTGTTGTGCCCTCTTGCAAGAAGAAGAAGTACGTCATGACATGATGATTGACTCGAGTGAACAGAAACGACGACACCCGGATGGAGTATCTAAAATTTCTCCTAGGGCCTTCTTGGGCTCCACGAAATTACCTTGCTTTTTTGTCCACTCGATCCCCGAGGGTACCCCCAAAGGCACCAACACCATCATTCTAGACGCTACCCCTTCTTAATGCCTCCCACCATCATCAATCATCACCAGCTAGGCCCGACATGCTCATCCCCATTCATCCAAATTGAAGGCATCGAGCACGTCATGTAATCAGTCGATTTCGGTCAAATAGGGCCCGACCATGCCCTAATGATTTATCATGACTTCCGAGTTAGAGAAGATTTTTTCCTTTATGTTTTGTTTACTCTCCTTTTTTCGGTAGGATCGGAAAACATCGAAAATGTGACCTGAATAATGTTGTTTTTTTTCTCCGGTCGGGGGCGCGGCGCGCAGGATCATAGGAGCGGTCCTGATCATAGCCGGGCTCTACTTGGTCCTATGGGGGAAGAACGAGGAGCGCAAGTTCACCCTGGAGAAGGCCGCGATCCAGTCCGCCCCAGAGCACGGCAACACCCGCCTGCCCGCCCACATCAAGGCGCCGTCATCCCTCGCTCAGCCCCTCCTCCCGCCGTCCACCGAGAACGTCTGACCGCCGTGGCGCTGACCCCTTTGACCAACCACAGGAGCTAATAAAGCTTGTTGTGCTTGTGCTGTGTAATGTATTGGAGTCGCTTGTCCCTTTTTTTCTTTAATTTTTCTTCTGTATTTTTTTTATTTTATATTTTCATCTTTTGTTACCTTTGGGTTGCTAGTAGGAAGCGCAAAAAAAGCAGACATATTGGTACCCGAATGTGGGGGTACCAAAAGGACTGATTTTAATGTTGCATAAGGTTTTATGTCTTGGTTCATGGTCTTGGTCAATCAACTAAAGAAAGTTGCACCTTATTATGGAATTTTAATGCGTTCAATCTTTATTTTCTTACTATTTTGTCTTTTTGTATATGAAAGTGTTTAATTTTTATAATAAAAAAAACTAAGGGCCTATCACCAATTCAATCAATATTAGACCTGATCCCTGGGTCGGCCCGAGTGGGTCCAAAATTTGTGGCCAAGCCTACCCAAGCAGGCCTATTTCGTCGGCCAAGCCCGCCAATTTGGGGGCATACCCGTGACCCGCTAGGCTCGTGATCAAATCTAATCCTTGTCTAAGTCTCCATCGAATGTATACTACAACAGCAGTCAACCACGAAATACGGACATGTATATGTGCTACTCTATTACTTCAAATCATTCGAGTGCAAGTCTAATAATGGAGAAACTAATTGATTATTATTTTAAGTGTCAAATAGGTAACCCACACCTAGGCATATCACAAAGGTCTGTGGGGAGCGTGGGCACTTAGAATAGATCCTACTGTCTAATCATAGGTGAATCAAAATTTACATATCACATAGCCAACCTAGAAATCACTATTTAAACTAATCCCTTCCATCCAATATCCATTGTCATATTTTGGTATAAATATTACCCGCGTTTAATTTTAGTTAAGTTTACATATGGGTATTATCTGTAACTTGTAACCCGCCCCAATCAAAGACATGGCACTGTTGGAGAAAAAGAAATGTTTAAAAAGAAACATCGAGCGCAAATGTTTAAAAAGCAAGTTTCAACCTGGCCTTTCTTTTGGCCAACCCAATCTCTTGGCATTAGAAAGCAAGAAATTACGCAGATGCTTTTCGCTTAGCCGACTTTGGCCGAGCCACAAAGTGGGTTGGTGTAATTAAATAGCTTCTTTACTATTCCTGATATAAATTCCAGGTCACTGACCCAAATCATAGGCTAAGAAAAGTCAAAAGACTGGTGCTAGGTACGTGAAAGTGATTCACCATGCTAGTTCACTAAATGATACGGCGGATTGAGCGTTTAAATAAGCCGGTCATGCTTTATATTCAATAGAACTTGATCACATCACCTCACGAATAATTTAGAAGATCGATTTTAATATACTTGGTATCAATCAAATGATAGAGAATACTAGTCAAGTTTTTGTTTGAATCCCGAGATTCATCATTACAAAGTGACCTAAATCATTGACCTCCATCGATATCACATTCCTCCCTTTTGTAACTCACCCTAAAGAGAAGTTATCTAGTACTCAAAGATCAGATGCTTTTGCTTTCCCTCTGCAATCATATCAACCGCACTCGCACCGATCTTTGTGAGAACACTGATTAGAACGTTCATCATGGTTTTAACCTTTCTCGTTAAGCTTTTGGGCCCCCCTCCACAAGGACTTCCCGACTATGGGATGGATCAATAATGAGTGATGATGGTGGATGTGCAAGAATATCTTTGCTCGATCGCGGAAGCGAAAAGGCAATCCGTGTTTTGTTTTACAAGATGCGGTCTCGAGTTTTCAAACTCTTTTCTGATGACCAAACACATACATCATCAGCAGTAAAACAGAAACAGGATCGCCTGAGGTGAGGACTGCATGATGCTAAGTTTTTGTTTGGAGGGACACAGTTTTTTTTATTTTTTGGGGACCATTTTATGAACAAATGAAAGTTAAAAGGCCCGAAACAGATGGGCTCGGGCCCGAGACCGATCCACATGACCCCGGCCCGATTGAAAGTTAATGGAGGATGAAAGTTTTGCTAATTTGCTTTCAATGAGTTGACAGCTCTTGGGTTGCTGAACATGTTCCTAACTTGGGGACTTTTTTCTTTCTAGGTGTAAGATTTAAAAAGGATAATGAGGTGCAAGCAATTCGAAAAGGGTCAAGACAAGAAAGAAATTATAGATGCAATTTATTCTGTAATGTCGTAAGATACAAAATAAGGGTAATCGGTTCTAGAGTTGAGTAGATTCTAGACCAAGTATATATAACCTACCTGATCAAGGCATTTCGGGAATTTGGAACCGGGAGCACAATCGGGACAAACGCACAATTTTCTACAATGTTACAGAATACGTGCTAGAGGTGATTGGTTTCAGGGTGTGCAGATTATCGATCATGAATCTAGGACCTAGTCGGTCAGGGCATTCCAAGATTTCGAAATCGATCATCAAATTGGAACCCTTGGAAACCGGTCTGGCCAGTTCCAAGGCAAACCCAAAATCGAAACCTATATTTTCTTTTTCTTCGTTCTTCGTTTTGCAGTTCGGATAGTTGAATCTATCTTGTTGAGAGATTAAATAAGTGAAGAGGCGTAGGTTTAAAACTACTTTGTGTTAGCTAGGGTTTGTTTTATTTTGTACTTTTTTTTAATATTAAACAATTATTAGAATATAATAAAGTTATTTTCAACATTATATACATAGTAAATACGCCTGGCATAATAAGTACCTGTAGGTCTCCTCGAGCGGCCCTGGATCAAATTTCTTACTTAGCAAGTTACGGATATTGTTATTACAAGATGCACATCATTTCAAAACCAGTTCCAACTAGAAACCAACACATTAAACCAAGAGTCGAACCGGTCTTGACCACTTCCCAGATTGACCGGTTCCCAGATTTCTTACCCATGAACCTATCCGATTCCAGGGTGACTGGCCTTGAACTGTTCAATCTAGGCCGGTTCGGTTCCCAAGTTGAATCGGAACCGGTTCCCAAGTTGAATCGGAACCGATTAATCCCCGTGACAATCACCTGATCAATTCTCAACGAAGATATCGAAGTTTCCGAGAGGGCAGAGAGGCGAATGGCTAAATAGCTTTTTCTTGCTTCTAGATCTGAAAACGATGCTACCATTACCAACATTAACCCCCAAAAACCGAAAGAGGCTCGACGTTTCTTTTGGTTAAGAAATATTATGTACATTGCCGACACATATCCTCAGAATATAAACTTTTGGACAGTACTTTCTAAGATTATACCAGAGCACGGGTCAAGAGTTCAAACCCTTAACACACCCGCTCAATTTTCTCTTATTTGTTATTTCTATCGTTCCATCTGTTTTCTGTTCTCCTCCGGCTATCTTGTTGACTTATTTCGTCCACATCTTGTCTTACGCGTTTGAGGGACAGGGATACACGCACCGGGGACCGTCGAGGAATACGCTATAATCACATCGTGGACAAGTCTCTTGAAATTTAAACTTAAGATAAAGAACGGTTTGTGTAACACTTTCGTTCAGTTCTTCATGTCCACAGCCATCGCCAAGGGACAGTTAAGGGCTCTGCCCAAAGCATAAATGTTGGGGAAGTAAGTAGTAGGACACTGGCCAAAGATTCTGCAGACCAATGTCACGCAGATGTTCGAGGAACATAGACACGTCGATTCTCTGACCCCTAAGCTGTGTTGGTCAGTGATTCCTTGTTCTAGTTTCAGATGAGTATATAGAAAACGCTAGAGTAACCATTACTTTGAGGGTAAATGCGTAAACCGGCGGAGCTCAAGTCATCGAAAAATGATCACAGCATCATGAAGACCCATCGAAGCAGAGACATCCAATTCCTCTCCAGAAAGAATGAGAAGTGGATGGAAAGGAGAGCCTCCCTTCGAGCTTACATCTCTGCTCAGGAATTTCACGGTACATAAAAACACTTTATATTCGAAACACTTTGGAGCTTTTTTAAAACGTTCGAATATAGACGCATGGCTGTATTGAGACGTACGCTTATATGATTCTTATTATTGTTATCTTTTTTAATCAAGGCAAATGCTTTTTAAAGTTTTGACCCGAGAGTAAAAACCTAAGAGAAGTCAAATGACCTCATTATATGCGTTTCAGAAGTCAAGGAAGGAGGAGATAGGAAGGAACGCCACGATTTGAAAAACTTACGTAACCCCCCCTTATTTTTCTAATCCATAAATACTAACGCAAAGACCCAACCATCTGAAGTACCATTAAAGAGCCTACAAAAGTCTACAGTCTCCGAACGGGTTAAAATTGTTCCGCAAGCTTTTGTCTTCTGTTTTTTGACTCTTCCACTCCATGATTTCTCTCCAGTTTTTTGGCCGCGCAGGGTTTGTAATCTGTGTCGTGTCGATTTCTAGCCATTGCATATTCAGATTAGGGGTGTCAATGGGTCGGGTCGGGTTTTCATGATACCCGACCCGAAACAATGAATATGTGTGCTTTGGCCCGATCCGAATAAAGACCCGAACATGATATAGCCACACAATCGAGTCGGTTCGGGTCATGTTCGTCGGGTCGGGTTCGTGTTTTGGAAAGAGGGGAGTATGAATTGGAGTCCGGGAGGATGAATTGCCTCGAGCTCTGCAGTGCATTAAGGCAAAGTATGAAGGATACACTCTTAAAGTTGGCGTGGTGTGGAGTGGAATGAAAGAAACAAATACATGAGGAATCTGATCCTCTTGAAAGTAGAGTCATTGCCGTGTTCTTTTCCTGAGGATTTCCTCCGAATCCCTCACTCCAAGATGGTTGCAGTTGATATCTACAGAGGTTGCGAGCCGTGTCATAATCGGAGGATCCCTTGCCGATTTGGCGAAGGAACCGAAAAATCCTAGATTTGGAGATGTACATTGTTGCGATCGACATCAATTTTCATTGTTTGGAGACATCGATCTTTTCATTGTTTTGGTGGGGACATCTATAGAGGGCTTATAGATGATTCGTTCGTAATCGGTGAGACATATGCAGAGAGAATCGTATGAGGGATCGTTGTGGACTTGCTCCTTCCACATTTTGGAGCTTCGAACTATGAGATCGTTTTCTTATCGAGGGAAGAAAATTTAAGCATCATGAACACAAATCCTACGAAGCAAAGAGGAAAATTAACGATCAAGCTAAGAACATACACCTCCAAATGCCACTCGGTGTACGAGCTAGTGCATATATCGATTCAATTCCGTGATCAACAACCAAATCCTACCTAAAGAAAGGAGAAAAAACAGAACGGATAGGACGAACCGATCGCAACGAGATTCAGAGCGAGGCAACGGAGCGGATCACGACGACGAAGGCCGCGACGACGACGGAGAGGCGACGAGCGCCGCGGACGAGCAGCCGCGAGAGCAGAATGGATCGGAGGCGAGCGCGTCGACGAGCGACAGGACGACGCGGAGAGCGAATGAGGCGAGGCAAAGAAGAGCGAGCGACCGACCGACGAGAAGATCGGAGCACGAGGAGGCGGAGATGTCTTGGCGGCGATGGAGAGAGGCCCGCGGCGGAGATGAGGGCGACGACGAGGAGAGGCGGTCGAGCTCGTCCATCATGACGCGAGGTCGTCGTCGATGCAAGCGGAGATGAGGGCGTCGAGGTCGGAGTCGGGGAGCTAGTACTTGAGGGCGAAGGGGGGCGCGACGTCGAGGGTGGGGGAGACGGGGGAGGTGGCCGCGGAGGTGCGATTGACGGTGACGATGCAGGTCTCGCCGCCGTGGTAGAAGAGGGACTTGGAATGGGGGCGTGGGGCCACGCCTACGCAGTAACTGCACATTAGCGGAGCTTCAAAGAGGCGGAGGGTCGCGGCGGCGGCAGCTTCATCGCGGCGGAGAGAGACGTGGAAGAGAGATTGCAAAAGAGATCGCAGAAGAGGTGAGAGAGGGAAAGAGATGTGGAAGAGAGATGTAAGGGTTTCTTGTTTGGGTTTTCTTATTTGGGTTGGGTTTGGGTACCCAAGCCTAATAAATCCAAACAATATCCAATTTTTTTTATTGTTACCCAAACAAGTTGAGACCCAACCCGACCCAATAAGAAAATTTCATGTTCGGGTCGGGTCGGTTCGTGTTTCGGTTCGGGTATTGTGTTTGATTTTGACACCCTTAATTCAGATATCTATGAAGCCGTGTAATTTCACGTGTCCAACGATTCAAACAAAGATCAAAGAGAAATCAAAGCCTGCCCTAAATGACAAAGGAGGAACTTGTCCAAATTATCTTGCAGCTGACACAAGACGCAAGGTGTCCCGCAATCATCTACGGAGAAACGACTAATTATCTCCGTCATCTATATCCGTACGTATACATCTGAATACGACATGCATGTATAAATACATATGTACACGTACGCATTTGTCGGGGTAACGCAGTACGCTATTTAGTTACAGTAAAAATACCTGCAAACGCAGACCAATACTGATGGAATATACGATACGGACTTCATTATGTGCAATATAAGGTGCCTATGGAAATACATAATTTAACGTCTCCGGGACACGCGAAAGATTTTTTTTTACATGTAAAAGTGGCCACGGCCAATAGCTCAGATATATCAGGACCTTTTCGTGGCCATCACCATGCATGCTTCTATATACCTATATATGTTTCCTATAAGTTCTTATAGAGACTTTTCACATAATAGTATATGCACACATATATAACTATACACATATGTGCTGACGACCCAAAGGCCATTTTTTTTTTCACACGTACCATGGAGACGGTAGAGAAGACTCCCAGGCGTTGCCATCCATGAAATTCCCTGCAAAGTTGACGGGATCGTCCAAAACAGGGAAGTCCACTGACATTGCAGCCTCTTGCCATAATGACTCGTCCAAGAACGGCAAGTTCACGTTTGGGTTCCCCCACAGGTCGTTTTCCTCGATGTCTTGTCCGAGTTTGAGGCTGTCGTGGACCCGATCGACTGGATCGTTACCGTGAGCCTGAAAGCCATCATTAGAGATGGGCGTGGCTTGGGTGTTCTGAAGTTTAGGCGTCACATGAGCGATCACGGGAACAGGGGGTGCGACTGGTGGATTAGGGACCAAGTTATGAAAGATTTGAGCTTGGTTTCCCACAGGGTTAACAGCTTGGGTAGTAATAGCTGGAGCTAGGGCAGGAGGTTGCAGATTGGTGGTGGGTACGGCGGCATACAGCTCGGGCAAGTTCAGCTTCACCTCCGACCCGTACAGCTTCCGGGCAGCTGCATCGTAGGTGACCGCCGCATCGAGGGACGTGTCGAAGGTCCCGAGCCAGAGACGGGCGCCATGGTTGGGCTCCCGGATCTCGGCGACCCACTTGCCCCACGTCCTCTGCCGCACCCCCTTGTAGGTGCAGGAAGCATTCTCGGGACCACCTTTGCCCCTCATGCACCCCTTTCTCGAGCTCGCCTGGGCGGGCTTCCTGCCCTGCTTTTTCTCTCCCACCCCAGCCTTCAACATCCTCTCCCTCTCCCTAAAACGAAAAACCAGAAAGAACACCCAGACCCCACTACACCCAAGAAAAAGGACTGCACAGGAGTACAAAGACTGGAGGGGGACTTAGCAGTAAAGCTCACGGCTCGAAGGGCGAGCGCTATTTATGTACTGTCGCCAAGTAAGACCAAAGGCAAAAGGGGTAGGAGCAGATTAGAACCTACTGTAACGTGTCTGCACAGTGACACGGCAGAAGATACTTGGCATGAGGAACGGATTGGTCGTGTCAAGGAGGAGGGTCCTGTGTTCATGTGGGTCGGGCACACCTGGCTAGGGTGGGCAAATACAGAGAAGCAAAATTCCAAATTTGCTCATTTTCACTTTCTTTTTCCTTTTTTTCCCGTGGGATGGAGATTGGATAATCGTCATTCATCTTCGGGGGGCGGGAGTGCTCAGAAGAAACGACGGTTAAAAGATAAGCCCGTCCGGGAGTTCCCAGAAAATAGAAAAAGAATGAAGAGATTATGCCTATGACAAAACTTTTGCAGTGATCCCCCATATTCTCACGTGGGGGCGCATATAAAATTTCGTGGGGGCGCACATAAAATTTCGTAAAGAGATCCTGGAATTTCTTCATATCCTATCCACTGTTTGGTGAACTACGGATTTAAAGTCGGATAGGATAATTTTTTTTGCTATTCACGGGTCCGGAGGAGTTGGTGAAGGAAAAAAAGCCGAGAAATTTTTTTGGTGAAAGCGCACAAGGTGTGGGGATGAAGATAACGGCGAGTGGAGCGTAGGGTTTCTGGAAAAATAAGCATTAGAAATCCTATCCGGATCTATCCCACCTTCCCCCCTCGGATTTTTTTATCCGGGCTATATCCGGTCTATATCCGATCTTATCTTATCCTGGACCACCACCAAACACAGGATAGGATAAAACATATCCTATCCTGGCTTTGATCCGGTCGACCAAACGCAGCCTAAGTATTTCTTGCCCCCTCCCTCAAGGGGGGTGTCCTGTCCGCGCAGTTCCTCCTAGGCGGGGCCCACAAAATGGAGGGAGACTTCCCAGGAAGATCCCTTCCACATCGAATAATAATTGTTTAATTATAACATATTCCACAAAGGCCGAATTCATTGCATTTGCCTATTTTGCACAGTTCATGTGTAATTAATGCATTAAAAAGAAAAACAAGCAGAGGCAGACCCGAACTTGATACATCTCCCCTCCCACTCCTTCTCAACAATCGACTTGCCTCACCAGATAAAGATAAAGCTAGTTCAAGTTACGGAAGAACATACTATAGAGTGAGACGTGTATAAATTGCGCAGGGATAAAACCAATATCCGATCGAAGGAGGACACTAGACGCTAGAAAAGTCAGAGAAAAGATGAAACTGAAGTTACCGCCTTTTGTGTCGGGTTGACGGCATTGTCGACGCTATGAGAAATAAATAACTCAACTACCGTCTGCTGCTGTTGATTGACGAAAAACTCCTCGAGATCGCGACCGGTCTCATTTGTCCTGTGACACGGCTCGAGTAAAAAGACAACGGACGAAACCGTTTCCTGCGTGCATTGACATTTGCCAAAACCCATGCATGAGATCTCTCATAAGTGCCAGATTTCACAATCTAATTCTGAGTTTATTTAGGTAAGGATGTCTCTAATGCCATGCTTAGCTAGACACGCCAGTCTGTTGTTTTGAAAACTTTATCATGATCTAGGTCAATGCAGCTATTAACCTCAACAGAAGGGATAAGACATGACTAGACATATTACAGCAATAATGTCACAACAAAATCAGATCTTCATCGCCTACAAGAAGATTAGAGAGATAGCTCGCATTCCGACTTACAAATATGCAGATATATACAAGGAACCACAAGAGGGTGACAGCAAGCACCTGATTTTCTTCGAGCCGTATCTGGCTCAGTAGTTGCTATCCCAATTTTCCCGTGTCTGCATGTACAGATGGCCACAAAAGCCTACCACCTTAATGCATTCTAGCTCAAAACACGGTTAAAGAAACACCTCCAGGATTTAGCAACCCCATTACCATTATGATCTTGAAGCTAGTTCCAAGAGTTCATTGAGTTCCTTGCACTTCCTTAAAGCTGCTCTTATCTCATCCAACATCTCATTTATTCTGATGCCTTTGCTGCATCAGCCAACAGAAGGACAATAATATTAGTTGTTGGAAGAAAATTTTCTAACAAATTGAAAAGGTGATACCTTGCAAATTAAATTTTGGGACACGAGCGTGGGAATGTCATAAAATTAAAAAATCCAAATCAAAAGCAAAGACGAAAATAAGGTAAGTTTATTTTGTGGTGACCATCAACATGACAATGCAAATCCACCTCTAAAGAAAACATAAAGCAGAGTTTCATTTTTCTCAGGTAAACATTCTAAAGCTGCATCCGAATTGATCAATGTACTAAAAAATCGGTCACACATGCTCCAACTGAGAGACCGAGAAGGAAGAAGTCTGTCATAGAGAATAATATTGAATCATAACTCCATTGTTTTCATTAAAAGAAAATTGAGTACACTTTGGTTGCACTATAATCGTGTCTGCATTAAAGCATGGGTGCTGTGAGACTACAATACATCTGCGATCCAAGAAGGGCCTTGAGTTTAAAAATGTCTGTTTCAGTAATCTCATTTTTAATTATGTACAAACAGACCTCCGTCTATGCCCGTTCACTTGCATAGATTGACACTATCTTTGAGAAGCTAAGGCTTTATTTGGGAAGTTGAGGTGGGGGAAAATCAGGTGGAAAATTTTATAGCATTTAGGTTCCATTTGTTTCGCGAAAAATGAACGATTTAGAAAATATGTTCCTAAAAATGATTGTTTGTATCGCTTACAAAAATGAATGAATAAAAAATATTATCCTCGTCCATGAAAATGTTTAGACATAAATTGTTGTGGGTTTTCATTCACTAATTATTTCAAGTGATACAAGCGATCATTTTTAGGAAAATGCTTTCCAAATCGTTCATTTTCCGTAAAACAAACGAAGCCTTAAAGTTTTTCGTGAGAATGAAAAGGAGATAAGATTTACAATTGTGAAAATGTTCTTTGCATATTCCCTTCCCTCATGCTTCCATACATAACATAAAGAAAGGGCGGGGAAACAAAATTTGAGGAGAAAATTTCAAATTTCCCTCTCTCCCTCACACAAGTTTTAGAATCTCTCTCATTTTCCACCCCAATTTTCATCCCTTCCTTTCTCTAGCTTTCCAAGCAGAGTTTTTTAGTTTTTATACAGTAGAGAACCAGTAGACTACTGCTAAATTCAGTGAATCATTACTTCAATATAATCATATAAGGGAAGCAGAAGGGGAATATGAATAACAGAATCATTGTATAACTCATATGAAAGGGGTAAAAACTTACAATACATCCACAAAGAGAGATAGGGTAATCAAGCAAACCAAAAAAAAGGACATTTCAGCCCAGGTTGCTGAACAACAGTACCCAATAAGAATTTCCACCTCATATCCAGTAAAAGGTTAACTACTTTTGGTATAGTCGTCGCAGAATTAAAAAATTGAAAAGTTACTATTCAGATAGGAGCTTGAAAGGAAGTTCAAGATGAAATGATTATCATTAAAAAGGGGGTTGACCAAAAGCTAAAGTGAAGAAACAACCCACAATATTGCAAAAGTTCCAAATTTGACTAAATATTTGCAGCCTACTCTATTGCAGTCTGCGTTGAACAAGTTACAATGAAACGAAATCTATGATGACCCGCATTTCCATTGCAACCAAGGCTTCTTTCTTCAATAGAATGAGAATTCCGTGTGTGCACATGCATGCACACAACATGTATGTGAGCACATGCACATGTTTACATTAGTTAAATTGTAGGACTCCATCTAGAACAGTGCATGTATGCTTGTACATGCTAAAAAACTATGGACAAAAAGCAAGGGAATTACTAAATTGGTGCAGAAGGATAAAGAAAGTTAAGGATCTAGGACTCACTCAAAGAGAAGCCACAACCCCCAAAACCATATAAATTCAATGAAGAGAAATGAGAATGAGAACTGGTCTTACAGGACACTGACGGCTACAACAGCAAGTGGGCCCGGATAGTCCTCAATTTCTTTATCCCTTCTGACATCAGAAACATGTGAAGAAAGACTTTCCTCGTTTCCACTGTCGGAAGAGCTAGACCTCATTCCTGACTCAGGTGGCTTCCTTTCAGATCCAATTTCTAGTATCTTTTGAGTCAAATGTGAAACTCTATCCCCAGCCTGTAATATAAGAAACCCAAGTATAACTAGTGATTGCAGATCCCAAAAACAAGGAAGAAAGGACATTATTTGAGGGAGGACATACAACTAAAAACCTCATACCTTGGGAAGGTCAATTTTATTTAAAACCACAATATATGGTCGTTCCAGGTAGTCAGGATTGTACATCCGCAATTCCTGCAAAGTCGTCGTTAGGAGAATTTAGGCCACAATAAAGAAAAGCAGCTTAAAGAAACATTGATGTCATAATAAATGCTTCACACAGTACACGAGGAAGATGCATGAACTGTAAAGAAGCATATAATGAACAAAAAGAGTGAACATTGTCAACAGACACTGTCTTCTTGAATCTATAAACCTCAGGTTTCTCTCTGAACACGAGTCTCTAAAGGTAAACCAAGTTCTTTACAGAACCATCTGAAAAGGCAAAAGGATGCATTGCATAAATGATCCATGAATTAGTTACCCCGAACAACTATTCACTTAGGCAATTGGTGGGTCCTAAGAAATCTGCTTGTTCTATGTACATGTCATGGAAAAGGCATTAAAAAGACTGAGGAGTAATTAATAGCATAAGTGACCTAAAGAGTAGCTCTTACACTGAAAAACGAATAAGATAGTTGATCTTGAGTAAATAACTATGAAAATCTAACCCGGTGCATCGCATTCAATTTAGTTTGAATGGATGCTAAAAGAAACAAGACTTGATGAGTTTCAGGATGGGTAAGTCTTAATGGAATAGAAGCTCAATCAGATCTACCTCTTTCACAGTTCTGTAGTCATTCACCGGGTCCTCAGCTGCTGCATCAACTACATGGACTAATAGCCGAGTTCTCCTTAGATGCCTTAAGAAGTTGCGACCAAGTCCCTGCTTAGAAGATAAACTTAGCAAATTCATGGCCAGAGTAAGCTGCACTATGATATGAAGAAGATAGAGTACTACCTTCCCAAGGTGTGCCCCTTCTATCAGACCAGGCAGATCTGCCAATGTTGCTTCAGATGAATATTTCCCAGCCCCTAAATTGGGATCACCATCGAGGCGCCCAAGGTTTGGCATCAAAGTTGTGAATGGGTAATCAGCAATATCAGGTTTTGCATGTGTTATGGCTGCCAAGAGAGTTGATTTGCCAGCATTCGGAAGACCCTATACAAAATCAAAACAACATATACATGCTACATCAACATCAAAGGCTGGTAAACATGTACCAAAAGGCTCTTTCCCATGATCTAGGGTTGGCCCAGTTGTCAGAGACCCTTTCCAAGCCACTAACACTGGGTTCTAGCCTCACCAACCCCTCCCTACCTTATTTAACCTAGGAGAAAGGTCAAACTCAAATCCTTTCTTCATTCTTCTCTATTTATCTTATATTTGAGTCAACTCAACCACGAGTTCATCAAATACACATTGATGGCTGCAACTCGTAGTCATTCAAATTATTTATCCCCACAATTACTAAGTCAAATGTAGCTGCTTGAAGTATAGTAGAAACCCATGCTTCTATAATAGATTCATGCAAAAAAAAGAAGGTAATAATCCAAAGGTACACATTCAACATTGTCGCTCAGGTATCTTGTACCAACTGCAAATCCATGATTTGAAGATTGAAAGCTATAAGACCAATTTCCACCGAAGTCTCTAATTGAACAGGGTAAAAGCAACCAAACCATATGAACTACAGATGAAAACGTAAATAAGTGGAAACAGCAGGTGAAAAGGGTTTTCCATTACTGCGGTTCTCAAGTTCAAGTCTACAGATCATTGCTTCAGCCACTAGGCTTGTACAATGACCATAACGGATGCAGCCACTAGTCTACAGATCATAGTCATTCAAATCATTGTTCTCAAGCTCAGGTATCTTGCACATCCCTTAGGGTATGCGGGAGGTGGGATTTTTTAATCCCATCTCTCGAACAATGACCATAATGGATGCAGGGCTCAATTCCAAGGAAATTATGTGGAGGCCTAGGTCCGGGGGGGATGCATAGCCTGGGCTAGGTGGGGCTGCATGAAGAAAAAATATACAAATAACTGCTTCAGAGTACAACTAAAAGGCTAACACCAAAATGAAAGCTGAAATCATGATTTCACTACTAGTTTAATTTGTTCTTGTTAAGCTCTGCCTAATGGAACAGTAAAACTCACCACCAAACCAACATCTGCTACAACACGTAGAATCAACTCCAAACTAACCTCTTCCCCGGGCTGACCAAGAACTAGAACCTGAAATTAGATAAAAATGATAAAGTAGGACATAAAGAAACAAATAATGTGGACAAAGAAAATGATATGACTTGCCAGCAGAATCACATGAAAGTCAAAAAACAAAATCAAATTTCTGCAAAAGTTCATGAGATGCATTGGAGTAAGACTATAATTAGGTGAAATCTATTGGAAGAAATTTAATTAACTGATACGATGTCAACACTTGACGATTTCAGGTGACATTAACGCAGATCTATGGCATATGGTAGCAAGCCTAAGCTCATATATTTTCAGCGTGCTTCAAGCTTCAGTAGCATGAATATTTCACGATTAATTATGCACAAGACACAAAAGGAGTGTCATGGAAATCCAGTATTAACTCCAAGTACATGCAATTCCATGTCAAGACACCTGTCTACCAAACCAAATGCAACTCAATGGCAAGGTAAGAAAGGGTTCAGCTAATGGAGATGAGCCATAGTCAGCCTAAAGATTCCATAATATATAAACTTATGTCAAAGCAACTCAAACGAAAAAATTCGAAAAAATGAAAGCTGGTGCTACTCAAAGACCAGCCTCCATCAGAAAATATCAGACAGAATCAATGACAGGAATAAGTTCACGTGAATCTCGAATATAATCAATGCAAGATGATTATGAGCAGTCAATCTTGAGGATGGAGAGACATTTTTTATACCTTATCACTGTCATCTCTCATAACATTGGTCGTAAGCGTCATCAATTTCTTCCTTCTATGTTCAGGAATTTCTAACAGGCTAATCTGCCAAAACACCAACTTATGTAAGAAGCCGACTTACAAAGATATCAGCTTTATAGAAAGCTCCACAGAGTTCCTGCTTATATTATGGGCATGCAACTAACAAAACTCGAGGTAAATTCACGACGCACTAACATTTTGCGACCTTTAGAATTGCGTAGATTCCTATCTTACAGCTGTCGGCACCCGCAATTCATTTTGCATTTGGGAAAATGCAATTGTAAACCACGTTAAGAATGGAGAAAAAAGCAATAACTTAACAGCAACATGACATAGCATTATAGAAAGAAACACACAAATGCTTTTGACCACCAATTGACATATCTAGTTTTATTAAACTGAATTGACTCACCCCTCCTTGTCCGCCTCTTGCGACAAGAACTTCATCCCCTGGATTTGCCAAATCAGCCAACAACTTCCCTCGCTTACGTTTGACAACTGTTCCTGGGGTACGAACGATCGCAGGAGTAGACCAAAAGGACAAGAAACTAGTTAGTTCGAGATGGTACAGTAGTAATATCTGCTTCAAGAGACCAGACGTAATCCTCCATTAAAACTAAATCAACAATTCCACCAACCTACAGGCACGGGAATGCGCAGAGCAGGAGCAGCGAATCCATTGTGCAATAGAGACGTCAAAACACCCATCGCGTCCACATTCCCGCCGCGCTTCGCGTTGTACCGGCTCCTCCCGTGAAACTCCAGCAGCGAATCCCTGGCTTCGTCCGCGTAGACCACCACGTCGCCCCCGTGTCCGCCCACGGGGAGCACGAGCGAGCCATCGAAGTCCCTCTTCAACGAGCCGCGCCTCCTCCTCGTCCTCTCCTTCTCGCGCTGCTTGCCGGAGGCCCTGTCCTGGCCGGGCATGCCGAGGACCGCGCCGTGACCCCCGTCACCGGACCGCACGGTGACGACCGCCCGGTCGAAGTACTTGTGAGGCTCCCGCGCGAGCGAGGCCGGGGTCGGGGACGGCGGCGATTCCTTCGCCCGAGCGGCCCTGCTGCACTCGATCGAGCGGTACCCGGCGGAACGCGAGAGACCGCGCCCGCTCCCCTCCGACCGCCGGCTGCACCTGCGCGGCGCGAAGGTCGAATCACGGGAACGGCGTTTTGCCCCCGACGGAAGAGCGAGAGAGTTGGAAGGGGAGCGAAGGGAGAAGGGGAGGGGAGATGAGAGAGGGAGTACCTGAGGGGAAGGGAGTGGCCGAAGAAGAGCGACGCGGCGGCGGTAGAGGGGATGATGCGGCGGCGGCGGAAGGAAGGTGGTGGCGGCGGCGGCTGAACCAGAGACGCCATTATCTGAAGAAGAAGGCTGAAGCAGAGTGGAGGAGGATCAGAGAGATAGAGATAGAGAGAGAGAGAGAGAGAGACGGGGGGGTTCACGATTTAGGCGGGTTTTCCGTAGGGGTCAGCACCGGGATCGATTCGGTCCGGTTCAATTCGGGAACCGAATCAAATCGATTTGGACCGACCGGTTCAAGGCCGGTTCTAGATAGAACCGGTTGTTGGGTTTCCCGATATCAAAGCCGGAACAGCCAGTTCCTATAGGGAACTTTTCATATCGTTCTGAAATCTCTTTTAAAAAAAAAAAAGAATTTTGCACCCATCGAAGAATTATATCATGCTCTTCAACATGAATAAACAACACAATGATTTAGCCAACAAATATTTTTACACTTAACTGGTATAACTTTTATATTGCATTCGAAAGCAAAAAGCGGTGAAGAAAACATATGTGAAAGGAAAAACTCTCCTCGATGTTGTTTGGAAAAGCAAATATCGACGATGAGCCGTAAAATTGATTTGTTCGGAAAAGAGAAAGAAATTGAGGGGAAAAAATATACTTATATGTCAAATGTCCTTTTTGTGCCTGCGAATAAGAGATGTTTTAAATGAATAATCTCGCCCCATTCAATGAATTTTTAGAAATATCTGCTTTAATTATTACGGACTATATACTGCCGTGCGTGCGAAGAAGACAAGGAAAGAAGGTGTAAAATTTGTTGCAGCGAGAGGTTATTTTTTGGAAATTAATAATTGGCCCACTAATTCCTTGGTTTCTTAATCAACGATAAATGTTTTGAGTAATGGCCCAAAGATATCAGTGAGACTAAACTTTGTTTATCATATTAATTATGGGGTGAACAAAAAATGGTGGGGACCCAAGTGCCCATTTTGCATCCTCAAAATCTTCACCTAATTTATTTCTAAGCCCTTCCAAACATGGTATTTCAATTTCTCCACCCCACTTTTCGTCCTATTCTCATTCCTTTCTCCGTTTGACGTGCTCTTTTCCCTTTTACATTCGATGTTTAATTTTGCCCTAATACCATACACTCAAAATAAAAAACTGGGACCTCTCGAAATTATTGAAAATATTATTTTTGTAGTCCTTTATTCTTGGAAAAACATATCTTCGACGGGAAAGTTAACAACTCGTAACTAAAACTAAGCCGGACCAAACAGATTTGATGTTATATTTAGATTTTGGGAGTATGAAAAAGGTTTTTATTTTCGCGACAAACACCCTCGAATTTTCTTAACATATTTAAGTTTTCAACACTAGGAATGACCATAATACTTCTCATAATTCTTGAATACTTTTGTTTGGAAGCAAATCCCACTTTTTTTTCACAATTGAAATATAAAAATTGTTTTAAATGTTTAAGAAATAGTAACATGTATAAATATATATATATGGTGAAAAATTCAAACAGCCTTTTTGGTTATTTTTTGGTGATCCTTAGGACTCACTTTTACGAGTACCTAAAAAGTAGCTGTTGTTTCTCTCACTTGGTTACCAAAACAAGAAGCTGTCAGTTCTTTCGAAGGGATGCACAAGTAACACAATCAAATTAAGAAAATCCAGAAAACGCCTAATCACGTAATGAACTTGAGGCTAGTAACCATGAATAGATCATATTATGACTGGCAGAAACAGTGGATCCGCAGGGTGGCCGATGAATGTGTATGCTGACAACCGAAGATAAACAGATTTAATCACCTCGACACGGCAAAGTTCAGCTCTTGGAAGAATTCAACTATGATGCAGAAAAGAAACATGTACACCGGGAGCTCTCGTCATACACAGATCATGTTTGACGACATTACTCATTAGCAGCAATAATCCGGATTCAGAAAGGCGATCTGCCGCCACTTAAGAACCCGCTTGAGATCGGAGAAGCTCTATGATTTGCTTAAATGGCCTGCACTTCTCTGAACTTGAACTTCCGCTTGTGCTTATTTTGTTGGTCCAGAGTAGGACTACCGAATAAAGGACGGTCCGTTTTCTTGGATCCCCATCCCTTACTTTGAACAAGGAGTTTGATCGTAGACAAACTGTCCGATGGTGACAACGATGATCGATACAACATTGCCAGAATCCCACCACAATCTCCTCGCGAAGTTATGCTGAAAAGTTTGGAAAAAGTCAGCAAAGATCGAAAGAATGAACCGTGCTTCTGAATACTGAATACTAGCACCGCCTAAGTCAGGCTATTTTCATTGTGCCAACCTCAGATGAGGAATCATTTTCGTAGTCTACCCTATCATTTAACCCAGAGTAAAAGACAATTTCACGGGCCCTTCTGCAAACAAATTTTTCAGTAGATGGAAAGCACATAAATCACCCCCTACTTATGGATGAAATATGCTCAGAAAGCCAACTTAGGTCCCTAATTGATCTGCCGAGCTATTTGATAAGCCAGCAAAGTACGAGGCCTAGCATCCATCTATAGCAACTAGCATTCTCTTCACAGGTTTAGCTTTGAACCATCAGTTTTGACAAACAGTTAACAGTGCATTTCAAACATCGGAGAAGACGCGGTAATGCAGGTGGATCACAAAATATGCTTGCTCGAGACAGGAAACAGCAAATAAGCAGAGTCCCAGAGCGCCATAGAAGAATAAGCTCGTCTTATATGATTCGAAAAAGACCCCACTCATTGTTGATAGGCAGTAGATGTAGTTCATTTCGCACGACTAAGAGGAAGATCAAGTGACCAAGTCCCTCTTTTCTTTCGTGGCTAGATGGAAGATGAGTATGAGCCAGTAGCAACTGAGAAGGTTCATTTGTTTCTTTACATTTTTTTTCACAGGAAGCATTACATTTTCGATTCAAACTAACAAATCCTTTTTAGCTCGACGAAAATTACATGACGGGGACATTGCTAATATCCCAATTTTAGAGCCAATCTAATGGATAGCAAGAGTTAACCATGTTTTGCTAGGCATGAAACTGCACTTCTTTCCTAAACATTCAACATGCCAATTGAAACCATGCCCAACATCAATATGATTAAACATGTCTTCCAATTCAAGGATTGTGCTTCGCTTCTGCATTCAATCCGAATTCTACAAGCAGAGCAACAAGTGCAAATTCCATTGCTACCCAATCAACATATTGCATTGAACAATCACCAATAGTTTCCAACAAAAGAGAGAATGTATGACACTTGTAAAGCTAAACCAGAACCAACCTCTGGAATCGATCACGACGAAGGGAACACATCCTTCACCGCAGAGGCGGCGGTCAAGTAGTTGAGCGTGTTCCTCAACGTCTCCTTCTCCCTCCTCAGCCTCGCCGCCGTGTCCTCCAATTCGAGCAACGCCTGCTGCTCCCGTGGCGCGCCCTCGAACGTGCTTCCGACGAAGAACGAGAAGGGCGTTGGGAACTGATTCTTCCTGAGGTCCTGCGCTTCCTTCTCTCCCTTCCCATTCAACCGATTCGACAGCCTGATCACGTCCTTCATGTACGCCTCCACTTCGCCCGCCAGCGACTCGACGTCGTCGCCTCCGTCGCTGGACGGCCTGTCCTCGAGCCAATCGACCCGCGCCACCAGGTAGGGCTTCGTGCGGACGACGCCGGTGACCCGGAACCGCTCCTGCCCCTTGCAGATGAGGAAGAACCGGTCGTCGGCGAGGCGCTCGTGCTTGACGACCTCGCCGACGCACCCGACGTCCGCCGTGCCGGAGGCGGCGTCGGCGTACACGACCCCGAAGCGGAGGTCGGTCTGGAGGAGCGTGTGCATCATCACCCGGTAGCGGAACTCGAAGATCTGGAGGGGCAGGACGGCGCCGGGGAAGAGGACGAGGGGGAGGGGGAAGAGCGGGAGCTCGGCGGCGTCGGAGGAGGGCGCGGGGCCGGCGCGGCGGTGCTCCGGGGAGGAGGAGGAGGAGGCCCTGCACCGGAGGGAGCCCGGCTTCCGCCGGCGCCGCCGGTGGTGGGGAGGGGGAGCCAGGGAGGAGAGACGGGGACAGGGGTGGTTCGGGGAGGAGGAGGAGGCGGCGGCGGCGGCGGCGGCGGCGGCGGCGAAGGAGGTCTTGGGAGGAGGAGGAGAGAGCGGAGGGCAGTGAAGAGGGAAGGCCATTGTTGATGGGTTTTGCTTTAGAGAGAGAAAGAGAGAGCTGCATTTAGATGTGGAGAGAGAGAGCGGCCATTGTTGAGCTTCACGGCGGGGACTGTTGTGACCGAGAACTGTGCTGTGTGGACTGCAATGGGCCATGGACAAGAGATATGTGTGGACCGTGAGGTTGGCTACGCTATCCTTGGTGCACTTGGCTAAAGGAGAGGAGACCTCGCCGTGCCGCCTATGTAGCCGGACTTCGCGACGGAGCATGAGCCCGTGGCTCGGCTCGACCGAGGCCTTTCAATAGAAACTTGCATTGTCCACCACCACTCTCAACTAGACTTGGACCCGTTCGATAGCTCGACCCAAAAGATAAAAAACTGTTTGAGAGCCCTACGAAATAAAGGATCGGAGACTAGGGATGAGGACCGGTCCTGGTCGAACCTAGGAACTAAAGCCGGATTTGGACCGAATTGGTGCCGGTTCCTAGTTCCCAAAATTTGGAATGGTCGAAACCAGACCAACGGAACAAGATCGATAGAACTGATTGCCCTAATAGAATATTTAGGACGCGAGTGAGTAGTTGGTCATTCCTCTTTCAGTTCTTCATCTTCCTCGGCATACTCTTAGAGTGGTGGCTGCTTTCAAGTCTCTCATCAGTTCTTCGTCTCGCTCGCCGCTCACGCTCAATCTCACACTCGATGCTCAGTTCCTGCGATCGTCTCCTCTCCCTCATTCGTTGCCGTAGGAAGCCCCTCTTCTTTGCACACAAAAATCAGGTAAATTTCTTGGTTTTTTTATTTATTTATCTTTCCTTTTGTTTTTGCTTGCACCGGCAAATCTCTTCTTCTAGGGGTTGAATTTAACCTTGGAAGGAGTATTTGGGCTAGGGCTGGCGTTGTCGTCTGGATCAAAGGGCTCGCGAGGGTTAGGATTGCTGGGTTTGGAGGAGACGGAAGTGAGAGCAAAGAGATGTAACCAATGCGGCAATTCTTCGTGCAAGTGTTGCCATGGTCAAAAGAATCTATGCATGTATTAGAAAGAAAGAAAAAAGTATAGCCTGTCCCGGTCTAACCAACCGGTTCCCAGGTTGACACGATCGGTTCCCGGTAACTGGTCATGTCTAGTCCGGTTCTCAAATTTCCAGGTAAGAACCAACTTACTTTGAAACCGATCATCCTTATCAGAGACAATTTAGATGAGCTTTGCTAGGAAAAATAGCGAGAAGCTCGTTTTGACCCAATTAGGCCTAAGCCAAGCCCAATTCAACCAGATTTGTAAACATTTCCGAGTCCTAACATTGAGGCCTAGTCCGGTCCAATCAGGCCCAGACTTGCCCAATGATCAGTTCTACTCATATATAGTCGGTAGTGCCTATTGTGTATTCCAATCTAGTAAAGCATGTGGATCTTAACCTCATAGGCAATGATACATCATCTCACCACGAAGGAGTAAAATTGATCTCCTTTTCAATGCCGGATTCGGTATACTAAAAACGGATGTTTATTTTAAAAAAAGATTGGAACCTAAAATGTTATGAAGTGCATAAATCACGTGCCTATAACGTACCTCATTAATCTCATGATTTAAAATTTGACCATAAAAAAAATCTCATGATTTAAACAAGACAAGAGAAAAAAAACTTCAGCGAATGCGAACGAAACGAGAATTGAAAATTTTAATCAATGGGTGCAACTTCGTCTCTACATGTTTCTGGAAGAATATTTTTATTCCTAAGTCTATGTGACAACAAATAAATTTCCTCTTGCAATCTAATTGACCATTCAAATCCAACACATTGTCGTGGTCGCCCCCGTGGCATGTTATGTTATAGCCGAGGAGACTTCCACTTCACATCACCAAATCCTGTTTAATAAGATTAGATAGATGCAATTTGACTTGGAATCGCCGTGTAGAAAACATTTTTAATCCTAAGCTACCCGAAAAGCCACGCGGAATATTTCCATTCTAAACTTCCAAATTTTTTTGGTTCCACCCTGAATTTTGATTTTGGTCCTCATTTCATGTCACTCTCAACTGCGTTTTGGTAGATGTTTTTTTTTTGGTCTGTTGTTTGGTAGATGTTGGTCGCATCAATTTTGTCGCCGTTTTTATTAGATGTTTATACAAATCATCGGTCGAATCTTGGTCAGCTCTCGATTAATCTTAGGTCAATTTTAGCGATTTTCTTTTCGTAAATTGGGAGCAAAATTTGAAGTGTGAGCAGATCTGGGGTAAAAATCGAGCGGGAGGAGAAAAGATACGGCACAAAGATTAGCTGGGAACCTTTTGTAAGATGGAGTGTTGTTTTTGGATTTAGAGTAGAGCTATCAAAATAGGATATAAATCAATTTCTTAACCCATATTTGATTAATCGAGTTGTTATATGTGTTAATTATATTCTGTAAATGAATCATAAATGGGTTTAGAACGGTAAAGACCAAAATAATTTCGATGTTAAATGAGTCAAACAACTCGCTTAAATTCCAACCGATCTCTGTAACTCTTTTTTCACTCTCTCTCGCATCCTCGTTCACTCCGTGCTCCACAAATTTTCCTAGATTAAGTTCAATACGGAAGTGTTTTAACAAATATAGATCGGACATGAGTTACTAAATTTATATTACATAAAAATGTGTCGACACAGGTAAGACGGGTCAATTCGGGCCGGACCATTTTCGACCCGGCCTGACCCGCGAATAAACGCAAAGTGCGGTGGCATACGAGCAAATAAACGCGCCGAGGAAGGTGCGTTTTGGTAATTGAGCCGAACCGTTCGGCTATAAATCACAGGATCCCCCGACCGACACTTTTACGTACGACACATTTGATTCGAGAGAGAGAGAGGTAGAGAGTGGGAGGGAGGGAGAATGGCGGAGGAAGGGCAGGTAGTCGGCTGCCACACCGTCGAGAAGTGGAAGGAGCAGCTGCAGAAGGGGACCGGCTCCAAGAAACTGGTATCGCTGTCGATTCCCTCCTCCGCCGCCCCCCTCTTCTCTCTGCGATCCTCCTGTTTTCCGTCTTCTTTCTCTTTTCCCGCCTTTTTACTCGAAACTCCGTGTGTGTTTGTGTGTGTGTGTGTGTTTGCGCGCGCGCGCGTGTGGATCTGGTTTTCGTTCGACCGCTTGTGAGGATCATCGAGATTTCTTCTTGCGCAGCGAGATCGGGTGCGCTGTTACGTCTCGCGTTTGATGGGTTTCCGGTAATGCGGTGCGGGTTTGGTGCTAGCGTAGCTCTTTAGCCTCTCAGGTGGGTGGACGGTGGTGAAAAGCGATGATTTTGCCGAGACGATACCCATCTCTTGTCCCCGTCTCGCTTTTACAAGCACAGATTTTTGCACATGGGTTGCTGCGCGATAGCTCCGTTTTGCGTGCGTGCGGTTTGTCTTGTTCTTGTTGTGTTTTTCGCCCCCTCTGTGCCGGTTATGCTATGCGGACGGCAGCGGTGGTGGTGGTGATGTCACTTTTTTTCCTTATCCCGAGGAAAAGGGCTTGCTGATGGTTGTTTTCTCTCTTGTTGTGGGTTGCTCTTCGTTTGGACAGAAGTGTATGGAGATGAGGGGTTTTTTTCGGCTTTTATTAGGATTGTTTGGGGGGGCCTCTCAGCCTTAGCATATGCCCAGGAGGCATTTGCAAAGTAGAAAGCAATGACTTTCAGTTTCGATTAAGTATATGCACAGGAGGTCTATGTGAACACCTGTACCTGGCTTTGCATTGACTTTCAGTTTCCCTTGAGTAGTTAAAGAATTGGTGCTCTAGGATGGACAAGGCCCTTAGCAAAAATTCTCTCTGCAATTTGTTGCGAAGAGGTTTCTGCTATTCCAGAGCCAAATTCGGATGAGTTCCATCTGTATCCGTAGCTCTAGAATTACTTCCGTGCTCTTCTTCTCTCAAAACAACTCATTTGATGAATAGCATTCTTTCTGATTGTTCTGTTCTTGCTAAAGTCGATCTCAGCCTGTTCATGCCAGTGACCTTGAAAAGAGTTTTTTCTGCGCGCCTATAAGGCTGTTTGTTATAAAACTTCTTCAAATTATCGCGACTTTCACGTTTCGAGCTTACTAGACCCGAGTCTTCAAACTGGGCGACATTACACATCGCCTTGCATTCCTATGCGACTGTTGCCAGTGTTCGCTGAAAGAGAAGATCTTTGCTAGGTGGTGGTGGATTTTACTGCTTCATGGTGTGCGCCATGCCGTATCATGGCCCCAGTCGTTGCTGAGTTGGCCAAGAAGATGTCCAATGTTCTGTTCCTGAAGGTGGATGTGGATGAATTGCAGGTAAGCGTGTGCCCAAATCTTTTCTGGCTTTAGGGTTTACCACAAGCAGCTTTGGCTAGGCTTCATTCGGCTGAATATTTGGATTATTGCCGCTATTTTTTTGTCCGCAGTCTGTTAGTGTGCAGTATGAAGTGGAGGCAATGCCAACTTTTTTACTCTTTAAAGAAGGCCAGGTCGTGGACAAGCTTGTGGGTGCACGGAAAGACGAATTGCAGGAATTGGTCGCCAAACATGCAACTGATGCAGCTGCCGCTTGACTGTGAATTTAGCGCTCCTTTGAAATAAATAACCAGCTTAATTGTTGGGTACTCTGCAATCTTTATGCTTGGTGTGTACTTCTAGCTCCCTTGGATATCGCCTTCTGACGTTACTAGTGGGAGAAAAAGCTACTTGCTTGTTATATGGTTGATGTAATGTCATCAGTTGGCGCCTGTGATATCGCTATCTCTTGGAATGAGCTAAGGTTTGGCCGCATGCTTTGTTGTGCCAAAATTTCGGTAGGCGGTTTCTTGATTGTTGTTGCTGGAAGTATCTTTCGTGCAGAGTTCAAAGTATTGGTTGCTGGATCGAATTGAGGGAAAAAACACTTGGTTTGTATTAGTGGTCCCATTCTTTTACCATCCGATGATGTTGGTAACATCACCGGAAGACTTGGCCACAGAAGCATTGCATTCCGATCCAAGGTTTTCCGATGTCTGATGTGTATCCATCAAGCGTGTCTGCAACTTAGACTGTTTTAATCTGTGGCCACAGACTTAGGCATGATTGATTAGAGGTGAGAGTGAGTTTCTCTCATGTACATATGACTAGAGGTGTCATACACGCTTCGTGGATCCATTTTTTGACTCATTTTTAGTAGTAGATTGTACATGGAGTGTTTAAACATTTAAAGGTTCAGGTGAAGGTGATTTTAAGAAATGAAAGTGTCATCAAACTGGGTCCTCTCGGATATTTTAGAGAACCCATTTTGGCTCATTTTTTAGCAGTTACCTATCGGCACTCTCGGTTGGATAAAGCGGGATCGAACCACACATACTCACTTGGGTCGCCACACAAATTGTAATCCACAGTCCCGCCGCCGCCGCCATGGTGGCGGTCGACCTTGTGTGACCGTAGACCTGACCACCTTTGGAGGGTACCAACAGGCGTTGAAACGTTCATGCCAATGGGTCCTTTCTCTTTGTGGCTCTGAAATGGTAGGATGAGAAGGCGTTGTGCCCCACCAGTCGCGTCTATAGAGGCCTGGCTTCGAGCGACCATAGATCTCGGGTTGCGCTTGGCGAGCGACCCCAGATCTGGAGGTCATGATCTCCATAGCGGCGAGTCGCAACTTCGGCGCGGAGAGGTAGATAAAGAGGTGTTAGATGAGTTAAGTGGGCAAGGGGGTTGGTGTCGCCAACTGTTGGAGGCGTGACGGCGATGCTCGGCAGCATCATGGCAGCTGGTTCGGAAGTCCTTCGTTGTCGGCATTTGCGTTCGTTCTCTCGTTCCCTCAGCCTCGATGTCATGGGGAAGAAGAAGACCGAACATGGAAATAAAGAAAAGAAAAAAATGATAAAAAATGAATAAAAAGTAGAACGCCTCTCAATCATCCAACGTTAATGTTTGAGATGTGTTCCGACAAAAAAATGCCTAATTTTAATGGTTAAGAAAAATTTCTAAGAATTAGAGCCCAGGTTGGACAGGTTGTGGATCGGGTTAGGATCGGATTTAGATTGAGTATGAATTGCTACAATTGTATTTTGTAGAAATAGATCATTATGGGTCAATTCGAAATCATTTTCGATCGGTCAAAACTCGACACAATCAACCTATTCGACAGGTCCGATGAAGGTTAGCTTGATCCTTTGGGTCGATGATCATGACTTGAATTAAAGGAGCCCTTGTAGCCCCAGTTTGGGACCATCACCGCGGCTCTGTAGCCGGCAGAGATATTCGAAATTGCGCACGAAAGGAAATGACCAGGGGAGAAAATCGTCCTAGACAAGTTGATCTCCTTATCATCAAGGAATCGCGGCATCAAATGTGTCAAAGTTTTCCATCTTTCGTGCCTTGATCTATAAATTGTCCGCCGGTTAACTGAAGGCTTGATGGTGCTCTCTCTGGGAACTTACCATGTTTAAGCGAAAGTGAACTCAAACCAGGAAAGGCCAAGTACAAGTCTACCTGCAATATATCATAATCAGAAGGCGAGAGACAGCACTGATCACCACCATCAGCAAGATGAGAGCAGCTTACGAATCGGATTTTCGCTACTCTTATCTTCTATTTCTCGGTGCTTTGTTGTCGATTCCTTCTACTAATCATTTCATGTTCGAGGATAAGTTTTGCTTAGCACTCGCATTGAGAATGAATACTTAATCGACGAGTTCGACTTTAAACGAACCCGAGTCAGGATACCATCTCTTGAGTGGGAATAGATTGGTAAATCTTTCGTCCTTGATTTAAAGGTTGATATGCTTATGCAAACAGAGCACAACGAAGTGCATCGACAGTCATGTATGCAAAGTTAGAGTCAAAGGAGAAGGGATGTCAGAGCATAATATCACCATCTCCAGATGAAAGCTGTGTGAGATCGATACTCTGCAACAAAAGAAAGAGGCAAATATTTGATCGGCATATGATGGTTTTTGGTTGCGAATAGATTTGTCTTCTGTCATGGCTTTTGTATCTAGGCGACGCGCAATGTGTCGTAATCTGCCATGGAACGATGCCTCGGCACTCGAAAACAAGAGGCGCTAAAGCAAAGTGCTTGCATTCAGTGATGGGAGTGTAGTCCAATCTGATGGCGAAAAAATGAGCGGTCCATGAGCAATGACCGTGAAGAGAGAAAAGATTCAAGCAACTTTTATCCTCCCAAAAGCAAAGAACTTCAATGGAGAACCTTCATCCTGGCAATAACTAGCATCTGGTTCTCTTCCTATTCAATCCTTTCCCTCCATAGTGGAAAGCGAATAAGCTTCTTCTACATGGTTCTTAAACCATTTTATAACAGAAGGGCACAGACTAAATCGCCTTTTTAAGGTCATGAAATTCAGACCCGAGCATCACCCCGACTGCGTGCAACATCGGAGAACTCCCATCTTCGCAGTCCGCCAGCACCTTCCTCAGCCCTCCGATCCCATCGCAACTTAGAATGGTAAGAACTTGCATAGATCGATATTTCACAGGCACATAATTCAAAATTCTACCGTTGGCAATCATGACTCGGTATGTTTTTTATTTTTTTGCTCACTCTACAGAGCTTGGAGGGGAGCGGGAAGAAGACTGTATCAGTCGGGCCGTGGGGCGGTCAAGATGGGTTCCGCTGGGACGATGGAGTTTATTCAACGGTGAGGCAGCTGGTGATAGCTCATGGGTCCGGCATCGACTCTATCCAGTTCGAGTACGACATGAAAGGGAACTCGATTTGGACAGAAAAACACGGTGGAAACGGAGGTTGCAAAGTGGACAGGGTCGGTAATCTCTAACTGTCTTGATTTGAATCTTGATCATGAAGGACTTTAGTGCTGATTATTTGTAGCTAGGACAGTTGCAATAAGAAACTTTGCTGTTCCACAACAGAGGCATCACCGTGTTTTTTCCTATGTAAATCATTCTTTACTGGATCATCCTGGTTTAACTCACTAAGCCGCGTGGCCTTACTAATTGTTCTCAGGTCAAGCTTGATTACCCGGATGAGTTCCTAACCTCTGTTCATGGACATTATGGGAAACTCAATGAATGGGGACCTGTTCTTGTTCGCTCGCTCACCTTTGTGAGCAATCGGAAGACTTACGGACCATATGGTGTAGAACAGGGGACCTATTTCTCTTTCCCGGCGACCAGCGGCAAGATCGTTGGGTTTCATGGCAAGGCCGGCTGGTACCTGGATGCAATTGGGGTTTATCTGAAGCCGTATCAGAAAGAAAAGTCTTCTGGAACTCTGGTTCATACTCAAACCGGTGTCGGTAATGGGAACAACAAGGTTGGCTACTCGGTCGTACAAGGGAGCATCGGGCAGAATTTCGACATAGTGCTTGCCGTGAGGCAGAAGGAAGTTCAAGGCAATTGTTTCCCGACCAAATTCTCGAGACAAAGTTCTAGTTCCCATGAGTCATCCAGCGACGACGAAGCCAAGGAGAAGGTAAGCTCTTTCACTTATCTAGCCTGTGCATCCTTCCGGTAAAGTAGGTGGAGGGACAAATCACTAGACTTCGAGTCTTTTGCAGATGCCCGAGGTACAAAATGTGCCCCGGATAATTGAAGGGCTATTGACGGTCGGACCATGGGGAGGTTCCGGTGGGTCTGCATACGATGATGGAATCTACACCGGCATCAGACAGATCAATCTATCTCGGAATGTCGCTATCGTATCGATAAAGGTTCTATATGATTGGAACGGGGAGGCGCTGTGGGGAAGCAAGCGCGGCGGAACAGGAGGATACAGAAGCGATAAGGTCAAACAACAACGTCCGGTTCAGTACTAAGCTACATTTCAAGAAAATAATGAGATTATACTTGCATTTTTCATCCCTCCTTTCTTGTTCTCTGTACTTTTCACAGATAGTATTCGACTACCCGGACGAAGTTTTAACACACATAACGGGCACCTGCGGGCCTCTAATGTACATGGGACCAAGTATCATTAGATCAATCACCTTCCACACCAACAGAGGAAAGCACGGACCTTTCGGAGAAGAGCAGGGACCTTCTTTTACTTCAAAGTCGAAAGAAGGGAAGATCGTGGGCTTTCACGGTAGAAGCGGCCTGTTTATAGATGCTATCGGCATCCATATGATCGAAGGGAAAGTACCGGCGGCCGCTCTTCCTCGGGCGAACAAGAATTACAAGACCGAAGCGGATCTGGCTGAAGTGGAGTATCCTCAATGGTCGAATAAATTGGTTCACGTGAAGCAAAGGCCGGCAGAAGAGGTACTGTTCTTTGCTTTATAATTGCATCCATCCAATTGGCTGAATCCTAAGGCACATGTGTCAATAGAATGTTCATGGTAACCTAAAAATGTTCGAGTCTGAGCTGGGCGGGTAGACGGGTGACTGTGAAGCTGCTGACCTTAGTTGTAGATACTTTAGCTGTAGCAACACTCAGACGCATGCCTACACTAAGGGGGATATACGACGAGCCCGCCTTACATAGCATGGCATCATCTTTTCTTCCGATTGAATCGGGACAAACATTGAGCCTACTGAAAGGAACTCACCAATAGCCCAAGGGATCATTAAGTTTATTGTCTGTTGGATGTCCCAGGTTGCTTGCGGCATTATCAAAGAGCCAGCTCCATGCGGACCGGGCCCCTGGGGAGGGGAATACGGGCGACCATGGGATGATGGTGTTTTTTCCGGGATCAGACAGATAATTCTGACCAGAACCGAAGCTATCTGCTCCATACAGATAGAGTATGATAGAAATGGACAATCTGTTTGGTCAGTCAAACATGGAGGCAACGGAGGACTCACCACGCATCGGGTAATCCAAATATACATCTCACTTTGGAAGACAAATTACTCCTGCTAATCTACTATTTCCCACGAGATACTGAACTTTAGCTAATTTTCTATCCTCAGATCAAGCTGGAGCATCCAAATGAAGTCCTAATATGCATCTCTGGCTATTATGGCCCCATCAGCAAAGATGAGCGGCCTCAGCCTCAGTTCATAAGGTCGCTGACATTTCACACGAGTCGAGGGAGATTTGGTCCATTTGGAGAAGAAGTGGGTACCTTTTTCACTTCAACTACGACAGAAGGAAAGGTGGTGGGATTTCATGGGAGGAGCAGCCTGTACTTGGACGCCATCGGGGTCCATATGCAGCACTGGTTAGGACACCAGAAGACAGCGAGGTCCTCCCTCATGAGAATGTTCTATTGATCCACTGTATCTAGTTCATGATATGATCTTTTAAAAAAAGTTAAACCGCATCCTGTACCTTACCTTCAAATCCGGAGATAATTATGTATTGCCTCTTTATGATCCATATCCCTGGTTGAATAAAAACACACGTTGGAATATCATCATCTTGCTATGGGGAATGACATCACGTAAGTGCTCGAGAAGTCGGGCTTCTCAATGGCAAAACATGAAGGATTTCGAAAGGAATGAAACTTCCTTTTTACATGCGGTTTTGACACAGCAAAAGGAAGATGAAAAGATTGAGGTATTATCTGAGGCCTCCTATCAATTTAACCAAAGGAGTCATAGTTAGATATCCATCTCTGAAGCTTAATTTTACATTCGCTAAGAAATTTTTCTTTGTGGGTTCATCTTCTAAGAGTTTAAACTTTTGGTAAAAGCGGTTGACTCACAACTTAAAATCAAAACAGAGAAAGAAAGAGACTAACAAACCGAAATTACTAATATGGGTCCAATACATGCAGACGTAATTCATAATGTAAATGATCAATCTTTCGAGGGACGTGTCAACTGCTCAACATAGATAATTATCGCCGACAGAGCCATGGCAATTGCAGGAACGCCAATGGACAGAGTAAAACTAGTAGTTCCTTTAAGTAGAGACACTACAAGGCAAAAGGAAATCTAAGGCTGCCATGTCAGTCATGGACTCAATTTCTATATGTAAGGGATGGCGAATTACTCTGCCTCAGTGTCAAAGTTCTGTCTCCTGAGAATGTTGATGCATGAATTGGCTAGAGATCTCTCCACTGGCTGAAAAGTCCTTTTTGCCTTTTCACTTGCACTTACAGTCTGACAGCTAGAAGCAGATAGGCTAAAGAGCCTTAGCAGAAAACTACAGCATAATATGTTTTAGGCCACAGCAATATGTTAAGTCAGTCATCTCCACCCTCGCGCTGCTGTCCAAATTTCTGCAATGCAAGTGTATACACTGCCTTCCTTCTAGTAGATGTTCCTTCAGCAACCACTTTGACAGCCTGAATAGAACCAAACTACATCACACATCAAGAATGCTAACCTCATGTTACAATGATTTGAAATAGATGTTTATATCTAGAAACTGGGGCCTAAATGGCTAAGCTCTTCCAAACACATGAGTTTTTTAAAAAGTACAGTGACAGCCGGACTAAACAACAACCAGAGCATTTCTATCAACACGTGGCTGTGAGGAAACTTACAGCATGTTTTAATACACTTTGTTCCTCTCTTTTAACATGCATTTGCATTGTGGAACAGTGATACATTCTCGCCAGAAGGTCCATAATCATCTATACAAGGTTTATTTGGCTCGGGCATGTGGTAAGCTCCGCATTGAGCCATTTGAAACACTAGAAACTAATGCGCAACCAGTATGTTCAAAATGAGATCAATACCTCGGAAAGGCTATGCCCACTGGACATCAAGTGTCTTAATTCATTTTCAAGCTGGTCCTCTGACGGCATCTCAACAGAACGGTCTGTCTTGCCTTCAATTAACAGAGTGATTTCTCCCTTCACTTGACGTGTCAAAAATGCTTCTTTAGCTTCCCCCAATGAACCCCGCCAGAACTGATGAGGCATAGAACATTTTAAAAATTTTACAAGGAAAATACAAAGAGAGATCACCGGGCACTCCAGATGAAAAAGGTCAACGAAGGTTGTGGTCGGATCTATAAAATAAAATCGAGACAACAAACTACTTAATAACTCTGTAGTCCCCTGAAATACAATCACTTGGAGGAATGTGCATTTTTTCTCACTCAAAGATGACTAGAGTGAAAGAGAAACTATCGATGTACTTAGAGATTAAGTTGAATTACTTGAATTGTCAAATGTTACTAGCATCACTTTGTAACTCAAGCTTGAGTTATATAAGCTCCTCAATTCAATTACCAAAAGTAGCCCTTACAATATTATCTGAGGTTGAATTGTAACCCAATCTCAACCTCCGTCTTTCCAGTACATTACGATATGATACCCCCATGGTATTAAACCTATATACGAGCATATGTCTACAGATATGGTACCTGTAGCTTTTGACTATGTCTTCTCATGTGAATTCGAGAATACTTGAATCTCAAGTAGTAAGTGAGCCGAGTTCGTATAAGGGCCTATATGCCCATTTAGTGGAGGGAAGAGAGAGAGGAAAAGAAGGCCATAGATGTAACATAAAACTGGAATGTAGGGAGACCCATGTGTAATTGACCGACAGCATGTTTTTCGCTTATATTCGAACTGCAAGATAAGGCAAGCGGACATACTAATAGCATCAGAAAAAATTCAGTATGAACTGAGAGACAGCTAGCAAACTTAGCAATGATAAGTTGATAACTTCTGTAGAATATCCTACCTCTTCATGAATCTTAGTAATTTCCCGAGCTACAACGCATCTTCTGCGAGACATCAAGGTACATCATCCCTCGCAGAAATGCAACACATATCAGGTGCATATGAAAAGATTAAGTTATTAAGAAGAGTCTGTCAGTTGGAGCTCGGACATGCATTTAGAAAGGATGCAAGACTTCATAGAGCATTATTCACTGCCGTCAAACTACATGGAAATTAATAAATTAATACTTAGAAATAAAGATGTAAAGATAAACAGACGAATTTTATGCACATGCTCTATCTTCTGTACCTTGACTCACTGAACATGGTTGAGGCTTCCTCAAGAAATTGATGAAGCTTATGAGGAGGAACATAGAATATTTGAGTCTTTGCTTCATTTGCAGAAATCAATAGCCTCTCTCTCCTTGCTCCAGAGTGTTTCGGCAGAAATCCAACTTAAGAAGTGCAATGAATTGTTAGCTTCTAAGATCGATAATAACTAAAGGCGTACTCATTGACTTATACTTGAATGGCCCTATCTCCTTTTGAACTTACCAAATGTAAACTCTTCTGTTGACAATCCCGAGGCAGAGAGAGCAGTTACGAAAGCAGAAGGCCCAGGGATAGGAATAACAGGAATATTTTCTTCCACGCATGATTTTGCCTGCGAAAACTTGCATGTGAGGGACTAGATCAATGAAAGAGAGAAAATTGATGCTTTATCCCAACAACACCACTGGCCCTTTAACTTCGATAGTAGTTCGTTATCATTGAAGCAGTGTATCTCAGATTAGAGTGAGCTAGTTATTGAAGTGCTTCCCCATCCCAATAAGACTGTTATTATCTCATTGAAGATTAGTAACTTACAAGAAACATCTATGCATAAAGGACCCAATGTTGCGCAGTGAATAAGAAGTTTTAAATAAAGACTTTCTGTTCCAGCTCCTTTACCACCAAAAAATTCCAAACAGATGCAGAAGCTTGAAGAAGAGCATCAACTTACCAATTCCATGCCTGGATCACTGATGCCTGGTGTTCCAGCATCACTGATCAACGCAACTATTTCACCCTGCTTCAACCTTTTTAGCACCGTTTGCTCTCTTTGATGCTCATTGAATTTATGATAACTTAGCTGAAAATCTAAAGCACGCAATCAGAATCACATAATAATGTATAGCAATAAAAAAACAGAGCACAGTAGTTCTATAAGTACTTACGAGAGGGGTCTTAATTTCATAATGCTGAAGCAACTTCCCCGAGTGCCTTGTATCTTCTGAAAGTATTACATTGGCTGACCTCAACACGCGAAGCGCACTGCATTGATGGTTCCAATATTACCAAGCATCAGAATCATCATGCGTGTGCTATGTTGAATAGTTTGCTAGGACATCAAACTAAATATCGGATGCACGAGATAGGACAATGTGCAGCGGAAGGACGGGAAAAGGCGTTTTAAGACACAGAGATCAGTTTGACTTCCAACTGGATGTAAGTAGGTGCAGGTGAAAAGTGATCACAACTTCCAAGATATACTAAATCAACAGAGAAAGAAGAAAGGCTTTAGTTACAGCAATTATCTGAAAATCAAGTACCGTAAAGTGATATCCTCAAGATTGCCAATGGGTGTTCCTACAAGATAGAGGCCAGGCTTCAGAGGAGCCTGTGCAATCAAATTAAGGCAACATTGCGAGACGGCATCAGAGAAAAAGTTACTGAAGCAAGCGCGAGAGAATTCGAAACAAGAGCATGCATCAGGAGCTCATTTCCTTCTATGAAAACTCGAAAAACATGGTGAGCATTTCAAGCGAGCTCAACACACTACCGACTGCTTCGTTACACCGCAAGACCTATCTAAGAACTTATCTTCACAGAGTTCAAGTGTTGATGACAAAACACGGCAACATGATATCCCAGACTTATCCATTACAGCGGCAGAGCGCAGAGTCTCTTCAAGCGCTTGGTAAATCATGCGCCGGCGATAAACCGAGCTGTCTAATCCGATTATTACTCAGCGAAATCTATCGTACCAAGAACGACAAGAGGATTTCTCAAAGCATTCAGTAAACTATCTCCGTTACGCTTCGCTTCACAACAACGGGGAATACACAAACGAAAGAGGTTTTCCAAATCGACGAGCCCGCGGACGATCAAAAGAAGAAGTCGGAGGCGAGAACGATGATTACGCGTTTGGAGGATTCGTCGGGCGCTGCGGCGGAGGGCTCGGGGAACGGCCGCGAGGTCGAGTCGGAACAGAAAGAGCGGGAGCACAGCGAGGGCGGCGAGCGGGATGGGGAGGGAGGCGAAGCTACGGTGCGGATGAAGCGGAACGGTCTCGGCCGCCATGGACGATGGGGAGGAGGAGCGGCGGCGGCGCAGAGAGAGGAGGTTGCAGAAGACGGAAGCTGAAGCTGAAGCTGCCGCAACCGCATCTCCGCCGCTCTCCGGGAATTCCGTCGACGAGGTGAAGAGGAGGAGCGAGGAGTTTACTCTTGTTTTTGGGCCGGAGTTAATTTACATTGGATGATTATTAATCGTTTTTTTTTATTTTCCCGCTCGTAATTATTAGTAGGGTGTTATATAAGAGTCGGTTTTGATACATTTACAAAAACCGTTTTTTCTATTTCTTAAAAAAAAATAATCCTACGTGAAATACCACTTGGATGGCTGTCGACGAAATTAATTTATATTTAAAACAAGAATTGATATAATCAATTATCTTTAATGAATTGTTTATTCATAATCTGAAAAGTGATTCTGATTATCTCTTTATTAAATTTGAGATTGATGAAAGAAAACGATTGCAGATCTCTTACATGTGAGAGCTTACATTTCTCTCTTCGCCACAAAATTCCGATGCAAAGCTCTTAAAGCCTTTAAAATTGTAAGGGATGAAATTAAAAATTATCATTATAATTAATTGTACCCTCTCTTATATGTCATAACTCATAAGAGCTATTATCGTCTTTATAATTCTTGTTTGTAATAATACAAATATTCTTACGCTTGATAAAAATGGTGAAGATATTCTAAATCAAAAGTGGTTCTTTTAATGTTGAAAGGAAATAAAATTGCTAGTTTTGTTAATTCTTACTCATTGATAGTTATTTTAGCTATATATAACTTATTAATGAAGTTATTACGGGAGCAATAAAATGAACAAAAGGTATAGTTGACGTTTAGACATGACAAACGATGCTTAATGAAAATGAATTAGATAAATATTATTATTTGGCGTGACCGAATCTTTTTTTTTACCGAAAAACGTTTAAATAAATAAGGAAGTCAAATGATTTGAACTGTGCTTCGATTCTATTCACTAATCAACATGGTTGAATTTTTTGGGCTTAAGGTCTGTAATGAAGCAAATCATTTTTGTAAACAAAATAAAGCCAGAGAGAATAAATAAAGCATAAGGACGATGTTATTGAAATACGTTCAATTAATTTGGAACTTTGGACGCATAAACTAAATATGTAAGTGCGAAATGATAACATCATTTTAAAATGAATTCTGTTAATAAGTACTTCGAGGGTACTAGTTAAGATCATTGAAAATTAAAAAAAAACAAAGTTTTGAAAATGGAGCAATAATATTACTTTTCGAAAAGCCACGTGCTCGGAATAAAGTATTTATCTTTTTAAAGCGCAATTAACGAGATTTAGTAAGTGCCTTAGGCACTTTAATTTATTTTTTTGTGTGTGTAAGTTTTACGATTTATAGACGTGAAAGAAAATAAAACATAAAATTTGCTTTTTCCTTAACAGAGAAAACGCCGTCGTCTGGTTATTATGATAGATCCGAAACTTTGATGTGCAGGATATCTTTACCTGGCTCTCTCTTCTGGCCAAAGATGGAGGAAGTTGCAGACTGCCTCAAGCTGGAAACCTCCTGAACTGCGTTGATGCGCGCGAGCACGCAAGGTCGCTCAACGGTAACCTTCAATGGCGAAGCAATCGGGCGCGTGGATCGCAATGCAGAAGAAGCGATGGCCTCTGACGATCCTGCTCCTCTTCTCCCTTTCCACCGCGCTCGTCCTGATCACCAGGTTCGCGTCCGATTCCTGCAACCCTAGCGCCGTCCCCTCCAGTACCAGCGGCGCGCGCTTCGCCGGCGAGGCGGTCCCGGGCGGCGGCGGCGGCGGCGGCGGCGGCGTCCGCTCGCCTCCCCGAGGGTCGCCGCCCAGCCCGCTTGGGTTCATGAAGTCGAAGCTCGTCCTTCTCGTCTCCCACGAGCTCTCCCTTTCCGGTAGTTACTGGCTAAACTCTGAATCTTTCCCCGGAGTGTAGTTCGTATCAATCTGATTTCGGGTTGTGGAGTTTTTAAGCTGTTTCGGGTTGCTGGCGAGATGAAGTGTATTGGAATGAGTGATATTGGTTGGGATGCGGCATGGCAAATTATTGAGATTAAGCTCCAAATGAATTGATTTCTGGGAAAATTATGCCACTTTTGGCATCATTGTAGTGTGTAAAATCCAGTATAAGCAAACTCAATGGTGACCTTAGATTGCTTGCCAACTCCAATCCAACCAGAGTTAGTTGCAAATGAATTGTATTCCCTTGAGGCAGGCATTCCCAGCAGGCTTTAGATGTAGTTTTTCACTCTTCCTGTTGAGGGTTGCGATAATCAATTGAATTTTTTCGGTTCTGTGGTGTAAGGTGGGCCGTTATTGCTCATGGAGCTGGCATTTCTGTTGAGAGGTGTGGGCTCGGAGGTTGTCTGGATTACTAACCAGAAACCAGCAGAGCCAGACGATGTCACTTATAGCTTGGAGCATAAGATGTTAGACCATGGAGTGCAGGTAAATTTTAACTTCATGTTATTGCTTGGCGGTTTGTTCTTTAGTCAGTTTCAATATTATTCATTGCTCATTAGACTACGATTGTGTAAAAGCATCAGAAGAATATTTGATATGCTTGGGGTATAGGAAAAATTGTAGAGGTCACTAGCTTCAATTTGATGAGGAATTGGTAGCATTTTGAGAAATGTTTTGCACAATGGTATGCAATTCTCTGATTAGTTTGGAATTCTACAAGTATGTATGGTCTATGAGTAGTGTCAATTGATTCAAAGCAGTGTATGTCTGGTCGGTTGCAGCAAAAATAAGCGTTTCCAGTGGGGCTGCAGGACCAGCAATTTCTTTGAATGTTAGTCATCGAAGACAAAATCGTCAATTGATTACAAATGAATCCATGAAGTGGCTGTAAAACCCTTGATGGGGCCCGTACAAGCGATGCTTGACAGGCCACGTTCACCTGCATTAGTTTAAATTAGATTGGTGAGCTTGAAGCCATAAAACAACCTTCTTAAGTAACTCTAGCTAAGAAGCCTCTAAATTAAACAATAGAAAGAAATTCCACTGGGAAAATAGGCCCAGGTGCTAACCGCTAATCTCATGCCGAGGGGCACTGGTTTTGTTGGAGAAGTGTAGATGGTCCTTCTTGCATGGGTCAGGGAGGCAGAAACCTTCTCAAGTGAGAGTAATATGGTTTCCTCAGTGAAATAGCAATAAGGCATGACATCATCACTGACATTTTACAAACCTAGCTGATATAGAGTCACACCAGAAAGGCTCATTGAGTGTATTTTGGTTTGTTTTGTTATACATATGACATGAATAAATTGCATTTTTTTGCTTTCGTCTGAACGTGTTCTGTTCATACAAGTAGGTTCTCTCTGCAAAAGGACAGAAAGCCATTGATATAGCCCTTAAGGCTGATTTGCTGGTGTTAAATACTGCTGTTGCTGGGAAGTGGCTCGATGCTGTTCTCAAGGACAATGTTTCTAGTGTTCTCCCAAAAATTTTGTGGTGGATTCACGAAATGAGAGGACATTATTTCAAACTGGAGTACGTCAAGCACCTGCCTTATGTGGCAGGGGCAATGATTGATTCTCACACAACAGCTGAATACTGGAAGACCAGAACTCAAGAACGTCTAGGGTATTATTCTCGCATATTAAATATGCCATGTTTTGCCATGGTCTTCTAAGTCTGTTGATGCTTTTCTCACCAGTTTCACAGTGAAGAACTAACCAGTGCTGGAGGATTTTTCGTGTTCAAGTATTCTTGTTTCTCTTTTTCCCCTTGCATACTCGGCAAGTTTTTTATTTTGAAGCAGATACTCAGCAAGTTCATCTGCTTCTTACCTTGGCATTTTGGATAGTTTCTATATGGATGCTTTGCAGTTTTCTAGTGCTGTTTTTACTAACATTCTCTACTAGTATGTGGGACTCTGCAATTGTATTCACCCTATTCTCTATCTAATAACTATATTGGCAGGATCAAGATGCCTAAGACTTACGTCGTGCACCTTGGAAATAGCAATGAATTAATGGAAGTAGCAGAAGATAATGTGGCCAAGAGGGTTCTCCGTCAGCATGTCCGTGAATCCTTTGGAGTGCGGAATGAAGATCTACTCTTTGCCATCATCAATAGTATGCTTTCTACAGCGAATTTCTAATTTTGCCGACTGATTATGTCGACTTGTGATATTCTAAAATGATGCCTCTGTTAAGTGAATCCCTTCCAGTGGAAGGTTTGGGTCCTTTTATTTGACATTTTAGTGCATAAGGTTGGATTAGTATGATGAGGATAATGAGGAACTTGAACAAATTTGTGTTCATTGCTGACGTAAGCCTCATGAGTTTTGTAGCACTGCTATGCGTTCATGAATTTTTTGAGTGCTTCTTTGCTCCTCTATCCCCCCTTTGCACTTTTAGCATCCTTTACTTCTGTGGAACTGCCACTTGGTTCATCCTGGGTATCTGAAGCACTGAAAAAAATGAAGTGTCTCTTTCCAAAGGCAAGAGGCAACATAGAGTTCCTCCATTTGGAGCTCACTTCTTCATGTCTTAGATCTCCATTTGAATTTTTCTGAATGCTATGTCGAAATCGACTTAACTTCTTTAAATTCACTCCGAGTACCATTTGTTGGTTTACTAGATAGTACTCCACCAGTATAACTTCTGCTCCTGAACATTGCTTGTCTGTTGTCTGATCTAATTGCAGGTGTTTCCCGTGGGAAAGGGCAGGATCTATTTCTGAGGGCCTTTTATGAAAGTCTGCAATTGATTCAAGAGAAGAAATTGCAGGTGCCATCTATGCATGCGGTGATAGTGGGAAGTGATATGAATGCTCAAACAAAGTTTGAGACAGAACTTCGTAACTTTGTGGCAGAAAAGAAAATTCAGGATCGCGTACACTTTGTCAATAAGACCTTGCAAGTTGCTCCTTATCTGGCTTCAATTGATGTTCTCGTCCAAAACTCTCAGGTATAATGTTGTTCATATTTTACTTCATTTGCCTGAGTAGATGCGTTCATGTTCTTTAATTGGATTATTGCTATCGCATCAACCTTGTGACTTCTATGTACCTCAAGACCTGTGCAATTAAAATATTTTTTGGTAATTCACAGTGGGGCTAGGCTGTGTATAGTGATATGTAAAGATTCGATAAAAAAGAGAAGGAATTGTATTACCATTATGAATGTAGGAGTGGGTCTCCAGCATGCTGAGTTCAGGATTGATTGGAAGAGTTGTTTCACCAATTTTATTCTACGATGCACCTTGGGTTTTAACAATAGAATGTTAGGTTTATTTAATCTTTAGTTTTACTTGATTCTAAATGCTGAGAGAACCGTAGTGAGGCCACTCATCTGGTGTCAGACCAATCGGTAGATCTGATTCACTCAAACCTTGTACTCTTATTCATGTGTAGGCGCGGGGAGAGTGCTTTGGGAGAATAACTATTGAAGCAATGGCCTTCCAACTCCCTGTACTGGTAAACCTTATTTACTTATCGCTTTTTCCTCGTTCACTATTTTATGCATTTCATATTTCTCCTTCATCAACAGCAATTTGTTAAATACATGGTTTTGACAAGATGCTTCCATCGTAGGGGTATTTGTTGCATCCTTTGAGGGTTGTCTCTTGGGACACCGTTTAGCTTTGGCACTGCATATTAACTGTATTTCGTGACAACTATAATGAATGTTTAGAAAGTGTTTGGTTCTGACTTTTATGCTTTTGCTTTGTCCTTTTACTTTTGATCTTGACCTTAAAAAGTTGACATGTTTTCACATGAAATACCAGAAATCTTTTTAAAATATAGAAGCAATTAAAGTCACCCCAAAATTGTCCTTTGTTTTTTTCATATTAAAACATCATTTTTGTTTTGGTGGGACATTCAAATGTGGCTGTTTGAAAGGGCTTTCAGCCCAACCAAACAGGCTGACAATTGACAACCCATTTTGATACTTTTTATGTCATCTATCTGTTCTTGCTCTCATTGTACATTCCATTTTTTCCATTGTGGACAAACGGGTAGAATCCTCACTTTTTTTCGCTTCTCAATGATGATGATGTTTGTGGAAATCTTCTTTTTTGTCAATTGTGTTCCTTATCTATCCTAAATACTAGGATGTCTAAAGACTACTGCATGGAGTTCCCCCTCTCTTAATTGTGATGGTGGTTGTGGGATCATTTAATGCCCTTTGTGAAGTTTTTGTACTGCTGATTCGTTTTTCACCGTGTGCGCGTGGTCTTTGAATTGTTTGCTTGCTTGTTCTTCTATGAGAGGCTGTACTATCTCTATTTGTGGGTTTCTTTCTTATTTCCAACAGAAGAATGTTTTAACTCGTTTTAATCCAGGGGACGGCTGCTGGAGGAACCACGGAAATTGTGGTAGATGGGTCAACAGGATGGTTGCATTCTGCTGGGAAAGAAGGCGTGACGCCTCTGGCAGAAAATATCATCAAATTGGCCACCCAAAAAGAGACGAGGCTAACAATGGGAAAGAAGGGATACGGGAGGGTGAAAGGGCAGTTCTTGGAACACCACATGGCGCAGAGAATCGCTTTGGTTCTGGAAGAAGTGCTGCAGTATGCAAGAAGACAGAAGCAATGATGATTATCCACGAATGGCGATAAACCAAAAGATCGTGATTTACTCATGCATCGGGAACAGCAACATCCTCAAGGTTAAAATTATGCGGAAATGGCATGCTCCTGGAAGCTCCTGTGTATGGTGAGGCTGTGCATAAAAAGCAAGTCATGGGAACGGTCCCGGTCTCAATTCTTCCCTCGGTTGATGGATGGTTGATGGATGGGGTTACGATAGTGGAGCAGATGTCATTTAACTTCATGTTACAATAGGAAATATCTGATCGTAGCTTCTCGATTCGGGACTGGGATGGCCAACTTCTGAGTACCTTAAATTTTTTTTTTTGGTCGAATGAGTACCTTAATTTCACCGGTGGGTTTAATGCCCTTTTGATCGATCGTGTAGCCATGCGATTGCGCATGCCCTGTATTTTTCGATACTCGAACAGAGCCATGATTCTATTCTTAAGCTGCACCGTCAAATCGAAGAGCACCAATGACCTTTTCACCTCGCACTGAAATGGGACGGAAGAATGGTAATGTTGCGTTCATGTTTTTCCGCCAGCGCTATTTCGGTGCTATCATGGTATATGCCAAAATATTACAGAAAAGCACGACTTTTCGTTTTCTCATCTTAGCGGTCGGGTGGTGTTTCAGGTCAGTTTTCTTGCACTTCGACTAATTCACTTTTCGGGCGGGCACACGATATCTTGCTCGTGGAATAATCCTATAAGTTATAACGATCTTTCAATTGTCCAGAAAAAAAGGCAGAAATTTCGACCCATAAGGCTGAAATTGACATCCTCTGCATTCCGACCGACCATCGATGCCAAATATCTTATGTGTCAATCAACATGGCAAATCGACTCTAACTTGTAAGAGCTGTGAGCAACCTCACCTCACATGTACAAATATACACGGGTGATATGGGATATGAAGCCCAAACCACAAACATCGCACCCTAATGTCGCTGAATGTAAATTGCAAAAGCACACACCAGCGTACTCATAATTTGTGGTTTTCCTAAGACATGTAATTGAAATTTGGGAACTTGTTTGGATTTGCTTTTAAAAAGATTCGTTTTTCCTAAATCCGAAAGAAAAAATCGGTAGAAAAATCTAGAATATAAAATGTTAGGAAGTTTTCATATGTAAATTTATACGTTAATATTTTGCATATTTTTTAGAAATTCATATTTGTGATGGATAAAAATTTTGTGTAAGCACTAAGCAGAAAGATTTTTAAAAAAAAGCGAATTTCTTTTTGGGCCAGAGGAAAAAGAAAAGTTTATAAAACACAAATATTAAATTGCAAATAGGTTTCTTTCGGAGAAAGAAAGGTTTTTCCTCGCGGCGTCGCGAGGGGTATTAGGCTCAAGGCCAAAGGACTCGCTGGCGAGACGGGATACGAAGCAGAGTGAGAGGGGAACCTGCGAAAGCTACTTCTACCGCAAGCACAGATTTCCCCCCTCCGCCGAGCCCGACGACGATGAACGACGGAGAGGACGCCGTGCGGCGCCGCAGCGCCGTCGCTGAGTACCGCAAGAAGCTCCTCCAGCACAAGGAGCTCGAATCCAGAGTCCGATCGGGTCAGTTTATCCGCCGGAACCCTAGCTCCTTCTTTCGTTCGTGGATCTGCGTTGTTTCTCTTTGTGAAGTAACCGCTAGAGAGGTCCGATTCCTTCGTCTGCGTATGCCTCGTGTTTGCTTCGTGCTAGGCTTCTTACGGCAGATCCGTTGTCGCAGCTCTCTCTCTGATTGGGGCTTTTTCCCCAATTTCCTACTCGGTAGATAAATCTGATGATGTGATTTTGAGCTTTCGTGTTGGGCGAGCGAGAGGTTTCGGTTCTTCACTCGAGTTGACTGTGCGTTAGGGTTTCTCCGGAGAGACCGATTGATTTAGGGCGGCATTTTCGCTCATTTGCTGAAATTGGTGGATAAAAGCTTGAGTTTTGATGTGTCCCGTGAGGTGAAATTGAATTTCGCTTGTATCCATATAGTCTATTAAATGCATAAGGTGTCGGACTAGCAACTTTTTCTTCATTTGCTGGAATTGGTGGATAAAAGCTTAAGTTTTGATGTGTTCTGTGAGGTGAAATTGAAATTCGCTTGTATCCTGTATTGGAGGAGAGATTTAATTGACCACTTTCCATATAGTCTGTTAAATGCATAAGGTGTCGGACTAGCAACTTTTTCATCGTTTGAATTTGTCACCTGGAAATCAAGGAATCTTCTTCTGTGAAGAATCCGCGCTTTCTTATCACACGGGTTTAGCTGCTTCTTGCATGCTTAGAGAAATGCTGGTGTGCTAATCTATCTTGCTTTGATTGTGATGTTTAAACTGGCATTGCGTAAAATATGCAGTGAGAGAGAATTTGCGAGGTGCCAAAAAAGAGTTCAACAAGACAGAGGATGATTTGAAGTCTCTTCAAAGTGTTGGGCAGATCATCGGAGAAGTTCTCAGGCCTCTTGACAATGAACGCTGTAACTTCCCTTCTTTAGTGGTCACCTGTACTGCTGCTTAGGATACAATCTAATCTGCTTGGTCTATGTTATCTCTGCCTTTTTCATTCTGTAAGTAAATTGCTGAGCTTCTCACTTAGCAAGCAAGCATTTGGCATGGAGATGTATTTGTTAAAACTTTGGTGTGGAAATGGATTTCCCTTATCAATGCCTTTATTCAGTTGGTTATTTGGATAAGGATTGATGTATAATCAATTCTTTAACTGTTATTCCTACTTTTAGGATCAAAATCGAACTTTCTATCTCTAAAGAAGTATCTGAAACTCTGCTTAATATTTGAGCAGTGATTGTCAAAGCAAGTAGTGGCCCCAGATATGTGGTTGGCTGCCGGAGCAAAGTGGATAAGGAGAAGTTGACTGCAGGAACTAGAGTAGTCCTTGATATGACAACTTTGACAATAATGCGAGCACTTCCTCGTGAGGTATTTTGGTTTTCCCCAAGGATATGATTGATAGTCTGTAAGTTTTAATAGAGTTGATGATTTTTGAATGCGATCCTACTGTTTTACAATGGCGCTTTATGAAATAACAGGTTGATCCAGTTGTTTATAACATGCTCCATGAAGACCCTGGAAATGTCAGCTACTCTGCTGTGGGTGGTTTATCAGATCAAATTAGGGAACTGAGAGAATCTATTGAGCTGCCTCTGATGAATCCCGAACTCTTCATTAGAGTTGGAATAAAACCTCCCAAGGTGAGTAGTTGCTTTTTGTACTCTTCGAGAGGATCATACGTTGTCCTGTCTGTGCATGGAGGGGATATTCTCAGCAGCGTTCAGATGGACAAAGTCTGACTCTCTCTCTCTCTCTCTCTCTCTCTCTTTCTCTCTCTCTTTAGGGTGTTCTTTTATATGGCCCTCCTGGGACTGGGAAGACATTGTTAGCCAGGGCAATTGCAAGTAATATAGATGCAAACTTTTTGAAGGTAAGATATTATATCTTGATATGCTGTGATGCTGCTTCCTTGAATATTTTTTTCGTGAAAATTTTTCTGTTTCATATTCACTCTTGTTCAAGTGTAGGTTGTCTCAAGTGCCATTATCGATAAATATATTGGAGAGAGTGCAAGGTTGATAAGGGAGATGTTTGGATATGCACGTGATCATCAAGTAAGAAACCCAACTTGCTACCTACTTTTATAATTCTTCCCGAGAAACCAATTACGAGATTTTTCTTTTGTTTGTGAAGCCCTGTATCATCTTTATGGATGAAATTGATGCCATTGGTGGGCGGCGTTTCAGTGAGGGAACAAGTGCTGATCGTGAAATTCAAAGAACTTTGATGGAGTTACTTAATCAACTTGATGGATTTGATCAGTTGGGAAAGGTACCTTTTCTAGGCCTTTTGCAGTTGAAATGCTCTCATTAATGGCTGATATTAAGTATGATTATCATTTCGTCTTTTTTGAATATGGCTGGGGGGAGACTGTGTGTAGACAAGGTTGGGGAGGAAATTTTCCATGTGCTTTTTATTTGTTATAGATCGGGAAAGTCTTCTTTATGCTAAAAAAACATCTTAATCACCAATTCTACAAAAGTTTGTTAGTGCTTAAGTAGAAGAGTGCTATTGTGCTTTCGTTCTCCATGTCACAGACTTCTACCACTTCAATAGCATGTAATCTTTGAGAAGATCGTTATATTTTGTTGTTGCTTCAATATGTTGTTTGGAATGTGAATTGAATTGTTAGGGGTCTGGGAATTATTTTGACTACGTTTTCTCTTCTTCCGTGTCATGTAGTATGGGATGGAGCCCTCTTTAGGTAGCTGAAATAGCTTTAATAGGTCCTTGTGGTTCTCAGTTGTTCTAGTTTCTGCTTCATTTTGTCTTTATGTACCTGCATAGCGAGATGGTCACAACTAGTTGGGAATCTGGCATTCCAGGTAAAAATGATAATGGCTACAAACAGACCAGATGTGCTCGACCCTGCACTTCTGCGACCAGGTCGATTGGACAGAAAAATAGAGATCCCACTGCCAAATGAGCAGTCGAGAATGGAGATCCTTAAGATTCATGCTGCTGGCATTGCCAAGCATGGAGAAATCGACTATGAGGCTGTTGTGAAGCTCGCAGAGGTGAGTTGTGAACTGATTTGTGGTTGTTACTTTTATCCCTGGCAAATTTGTTGTCCTGATTTATTTTTGATTGCTTTAGGGCTTCAACGGTGCTGATCTGCGTAATGTTTGCACTGAGGCTGGAATGTCTGCCATACGTGCAGAACGTGATTATGTCATTCATGAAGATTTCATGAAGGTAAGAGGCCTTCCTCTTGCATAATTTTATATTTCAGTATTCGTCTTTTCGTCTGAGCAAGAATTGGTTACATTATCATCGCAATTAGAATTATTTTTGTTGTTAGCAACGATTGAGGATGCTATCTCAATAACTTGATCCATTTTGCAGGCTGTTCGGAAACTTAGTGAAGCAAAGAAACTAGAGTCTAGCGCGCACTATAATGCTGATTTTGGAAAAGAGTAGTAATGACACCTCTCTTTCATTGTTATGGACGCTTTGGCGATAGTTTTTCTTGTTCATTCTGTTGTAATGTGCGATGGGATATTAAATTTAATTGATGAAGTTTCCTTACTCAATGAAGATATTTGCGGTACTTTGTTTGGTCATGACTGCTGATTTTGAAAAAGGATCTATCAGCTGCAGAACAACAGTAGGTACTGTAATGGTCGTTCATGAATCTTTTGAATTGGTCGAGACCGACGCAGGAGGCTGGTTGCTGCTGTCTCTTTTAACTTGCAATTGGTTTAATGGTGTGATCATACATTCCCTTGCTTATAGGGGTGTGTTTTTTAATGGGATGACATGAGTTGCCAGTAGACCCATAAAAGTGGTGGGTCGGGTCGGGTCGGGTCGAAAATATTCGGATCCAAATTGATCCATTTAATTAGTTTTGACCCATTTTTATGTAATGTAAATTTAGTTACTTGTACTTGACACATATTGCTGAAACATTTATAATTTAATCCAATTTAAGAAAATTCAAATCCAAATTGAGGTAAGAGCGCAGAGTGAGTAAGCCTAAAATCGAGTAAAAGTGAGAAAGTGAAGAAGAAGTCATAGCCGTGGGTTAAATTTAAATAAGTTGTGAATTTATTGAATATTCATATTATTATGGATTTTGCAATTCTATTTCTAAATTCATTTGAAATCCATTTATTGAATATAATTAATTCATATAATAATTCAGCCCATCAAACATCAGATATAGGTTAAGAAATAAGTCTATAACTCATTTTGACAAATCTAGTTGGCACCTCTTTCTGCGGTGCTTATTTTTTACATTTAATTAGGGCGGCGGTTTTCCTCTCGGGAACCAACATACGATACCATTGACTCGAGAGATGATGCGATGACGACCCATTCATTTGCGTGAGATGGGCACTTCATTAAAGGTCCGGTCATTAAAGGTAACAAAATTTTTTCTCTCCCACCCCCCACAGATTACCAATGAGAGATCCCAAAAAGGAGGAGACGCCACAACACCTTTGCACAAATTAAATTGCGGTCGGGCCAATGAAGTTTGGGTTCAATGCTCATTGGATCTTTTCGTGGATGGGGTTGAGCTTGGTGACGCTTTTACCCATTATCGCAAATGCTCACTTTATCTATCCCTCTCCTGGGAAGCCTAGAAATTTGAATATGCTTGGCTGACAAAAAAGGGAGAGATGCTTGGGCCGTCATTGATGCCATGGTTTCAATTTTCTTATTCCTCACCATTAAGACAGATTGAAAAAGGAATTTGCTTATTTATTTTTGCGGGACAAAGTTGGGGCTTGAAATTCAATCCCGAACTGGTTTTTATCAATACGACGAGTCTTCAAAATGGACCTGGCCTCGAATAAGGCCCTGAAGTGGCCAAGTTAATAATCTCGAGACAAACCTCAGCTCACTGATTAACGATGCTCGTTGAAGTTCTTGTGGTATCGCTAATTTTTCCGTTAACACTATCCCGATTCCGGATTAAGGATGTTGGTTGACGTTGTTTCTTTGTTACTGCCAAGCTTTTTCCAGGACAATAGACCTGATAAAATTCCTGCATATTTTACAGCAACCATGGTGGTACTGTTGTTTGTTGCTGTCTCCTCCTTTTCTTGGGGTGTGAAACCGATTTGTGGAACAAGCCAAATCTCTCCTTCCTCCCTAAAAAAAAAATCCTAAAAGGTCACTCACTCCCCCAATAAAAATTATATATAGATGAAACTACAAAGAAAATGACATTTTAGCTTTTCTCTCTTTGATGCATCCTTCCGTCATCTCCTGTTGCTGTAGCGTGCAATCAAAACCCTTACACAGAAAGGCATTGACAAGAGAGTGCAAGAAGGTTGTCTGGTTCTTTTGGAGGCATATTATACCTAATTTCACCCACTTCTAGGCTCTTTATTAGGGTTCTTGTTAGTTGATTTCACACAACATCTTTTTTCTTTCCTCCCCTTTTCGCGTATCGCCGATCGCATTTCCTTTGCTGGAGGAATATTTCTGCAATTATATTGCTTCACCTTGTACATCAACAGGGTTCTTTTCACACCCTAGCTGTTCAAGCATCAGGGGCAGAACATCCAATATATTGAGATTTTCTTCTGAATCACGTGTACTGCATCAAATGCACTGGTTTCGAGCGCATGGAACTGATCCTGCCTTCTTTTTTTGGGTCTAAATGATAGATGTTAAATATAATATGGTTCGACGTTGCCCTCGGCAGCGTGCTTTCTGCTTACTAATGGACACAGTCTGTCTCCACCAGCACTCCAAGAAAAGCTCAATCAATATTCATTGCGGAAAATGTCACGAAGGCATAGAATCTCTCGTCGTATTGGAAGTTCTGGCCAGCAATCCGGAATAAAATACAGGAAAAATTTGGTGTTGGAGAGACAAATCAGGTCAATTTGTTTAATCCCTTTTCAAATTGTTCTTTGTCTTCCCTTGCCACCAATGTACAGAAATCAATGGCGCTTCTTTTTTTATGTATCATCGAAATTAACGTGGTGTTGCACGGTGGGAATGAATTCAATAAAGAGCTTATATATGCCAAGTTACCAACCAAATGCTGTATTTTTTTAAATATGTAGAGAGACCATCCCTTTGCGACAACCAATCATTGATAAACCAAGCTTTTAAATACAATATCACATATAATAATTAACAACCCACAAACCAAAATAAACCACACAAAACTATAGTCAAAAGTACACATCACAAGCACCACCCAGATTAGCTGATCCAATCCATTGCATCACTCACTCACTACCCCCCTCCTTAATAATTCATAATTGCTCTTGCCATTTTTTCCATGGCCTCATCACCCTGCAAAATCGTAATAGACAAAACGGAACAAAGCAACCCTAGTCTTTAACCCTAGTCTTTCCCTTCGAAGGCTTGAACAAGGCACCAACGCATGGATGGAGATTTGGTTGTGACGAGGTTTTCACGTTCAGTACAGAAACACGTCCGAAGCAGCCATGATCGGTTGGCTAACATGAAGGCCCAGCGAGTTGAGTGGGTTCAGGAAATGGTCGTGGCTCGTTGTCCGGACGCCGCCCACGACATCGTCGATGTCGCACACCCTGAGATTGGTCGTGTTGATGCAACCGAGAATGTCGTTGAGGGACTGGAGTCTCTGTCTCAGCTCAAGAGCCTGAGCCCTCAGGATCGAGTTCTCGGCCTCGAGGCCCAGCAGGTGGTGGGTGGTGATGGTGATGTTGGTGATGATCTGGTTGTTGTCCTTCCTCAGTTGATCCACCTCGGCCGTGAGCCCGTTCAAGTGCTTCTGCTTCCGCATCCGCGACCGCCTCGCCGACTCCCGGTTCGACTCCATCCTCTTCCTCTTCCTCTGGATCTGCAGCAACTCGTCTTCGGAGCTCGAGTTTTGAATCTGAGTGGTGGTGGCGGCAGCAGTTGTTCCCGAGGAGGAATTCGAATTCCGGCTCGAGGAAGCCATGGCAATAGTCGTATATTTACACCCGATTCGCAAAACACCAAATTACAACCCCCAAAACAAAGGGAAGAATACTAATTAATACTATCAAAATTATGATAATATTTGAAGATCTGAGTCAACTAGCAGAGAAAAACACACCAGACCCAGATCCTAACGATGTTTTAGCTAATCTAGAAAGCTATATATGTATATGAATACTACGTTAAAGAACTTAAGGTAGACAAATCATGAGAAAACATAGAACCAGTAGAGGAACGCAACGGAGAAAGATTGAACTAAGTGGGTCCTGCGCCTCAGGGAAGAACTTATCATATAACCCGAACGAAGGATTTCACTGAGAACCGGAGACATGAAGGTGCTCTCACCCGTTCAAGAACAACACGAAGAAGATATCACGTGTCTAAGTTCATCTTCTCAGCAGAAAAACGAAAACCCCAGAAGCATGGAATCTTCTTGGGAGACAGGGAGAGAACGATTACAAAAGGTTTCTATCTATGACATGAGGTTCCTGCAGAACCAAAGAGCTTGCATGGAGAAGCGGAGGAGGAGATGAGGACCAAGAGAAGATGAATATAATACAAGAGGCTCCAAGAAGAGAGAGAGAGAGAGAGAGAGAGAGAGAGGTGGAAGAGGTTGTTCATGGAAGTGAGGGCCCAATTTATAGAGCCAAAAATGTGAAGAAGAAAGGTTAAAGAAATTAATTTTGCAAAAAAAATTAAAAGAAAAAGTTTATAGGGAAGGGAGAATAGTGAGCATAGTAATCTCCTCTAGAAGAAATTTGGGTTGCTGGAGATAAGCGATTGGACATTACGTGGAAAAAGAGGCGAAATTTCCACAACCCACCAAGGTGACCCACGCACGCTCCATTGATTGCTCTTTCGCAAAGTAAGGACTCCCCGCTACACGATGTTTAAGACCGATCACACTCGATCGATATGCCAGACGAGGTCCTCCTGCGATCTCTCGAGAACCCCGTTTCTATTCGGGATCGATAACCGTTTGATCACGGGATAGTATTACCGGAGCCACCCGCCGATGAAGCATCGCCTCGCACGAGGAAGTTAAGGATGCAATGCACGGGGGTTCCGGCCTCGGTCCCTTGAAAATAAACCTCTAAATAAGCAGGTTGCGCTTGTTTCACGTCTAAGACGAGTCAATTGGACATTTGAATTTACTGGTATCCCTAACATTATTCGAAAATTGAATCTCAATTTCTCTGACGTAAGAAATAAAACTAAGTAAAAAAGGACAGACAAGAAAAGACCCCACTGTCACGGCCGGCACCTGAAGTTTTGACCGTGATGGCTTGTAGCGAAACGATCAAGGAATTGGAGGTGGGTATCGCCAATTCTCATGGAAAAGATCATCGATTTTGGGTGAGTTTTTCGGAGTAAATTTCAATTACAGAGACAAAGGACTACGGCCAAAATCTTGTAGAACGAAGGACACAAATAGTTTCTGATGTGATCTTTAAATTTTTAATTTATTCAATATAATTTTTAAATTTTACCTCAATATGAAATGTGATCTCTGAACTTTTAATTTATTTAATGTGATATCTAGACTTTTGGTACATGTTCAATTTAGAACATGTGCAATGTGGTTCATGAATTATATAAAAATATTCAATATTTTCATTTCATTTATTCAAGTTCATGGACAACATTTTCATATTGAAAATGTACCAAAAGTCTCGGGATCATATTGAACAATTTAAAAATTTAGGGACCACGTTGCACATTGAGTTAAAGTTCAGGGACCACATTGAACAAATTAAAAGTTTAGGGACCGCATTACACATTTGGCCAAAGTTCAAGAACCATTTATGTCATTCTTCCTTGAATGAATATGGTCACCCCAAATTGACTAAAATACTCCCATTTATTACCCCTTCTCCTTTTGTGATATTAATCGGGTAGGACGCTGGGCGATAGACTAAGTTAGATAACGATCCCGAGAAATGCAATGTATTTAGGATTTGGTGATCAAGTTGGTCTGCCACATTATTTATCTTATGGGTTCTAATCTCATCGCGGCCTCACTAATCGACTAAAACACGACCCAATTACACTCGAGCTTAATTCGTTTGCGAATTAATTAAGCGTAGGGACAAAAGTTACCTACTTAAGAAAGTCAGCTCCCTTGATTATGGAGCATGAACGCGATAAAACAAGTGTCTTAAGACTTTCATGTGTTGGGAGGTTCGCTTGGTCAAACCAAGAAGGATGTATATGAGCAATTTTCAAAGCCCAGGCTGTCCTTAAGTCATTAAATTAACATATTAGCAGATATTAATTAAGGTGATACTCAGCACGCGACAACAATGTGTTCCTATAAACCCTAGTACATCTTCGACCCAAAAAAAAAACCTAGCACATCATCATCGATAGCAAACGATCTTTTTTTTTTTTGGTTCCGCACCACAAAGGGCGGACGTAAGAATGAAAAAGAGCTCATAATTTCTGAGAAAATTAAATCATAGATTCATTCCAAATTACATGAATTATTTCTAAATATCCATCGCCTCTCTTACAAGGAGGAACCTACTTAGAAGGGTAAACTCTATATTTGCAAGGCGTTGCGTGAATTTCCACATGATCGGATCTCTACGCACTCGTCCCTAAATTATGAAAAAAAATAAAAAGGGTTTATGGTGTATCTTGTCTTTTGGATCTGTAAAAACAAAGGGGAATATGCTTAATCTATTCCAAAATAGTTGGACATTGTTTGAATGGGCCTTAAAGACCCAAAAGGAGAGGGAAAATAGTAACCGAAAAAGAAAAGCAAATGGGTCCTTCCCGCTTTTTATCTGTAGATTTAACAAAACACACTGTTTTTTTCAATCTCATTTGGACATATCTGCTTTTTTTTCGTTGCAAGAGGGTTTTAGGGCCTGTTTGGTAACCGGGCAAACAGTATCTGATTCTAGTATTTTGTTTCCGGGAACAAAAAAAGAACAGAAATCCGTTTGGTAAATTTTTTGTTTCCGGGCACAAATTTGTTTACAGAATCAGTTTTGGAACAGAATCAATAATAATAATAAAAAGTTAATTCTTAATTCTGGGAACAAGAATAAAAAATGAAAAAGATTTTTTTTTTTTATCTTCTTCTTCTTTCTTGGCATGTGGCCAGTGATCGGCCACAGGCCAGGGCCGACGTGGTGAGGGCTGGACCCTCACTGCTTGGGCGAGGGCCTCGCCCAAGCCGCGAGCCGCCCTCGCCTAGGCTGTGAGTCGTGAGGGCTGGACCCTCGTGGCTTAGGCGAGGGTCGCCCTCGCCGAACCCTCGCCAGATCCGACGAGGGCCGCGAGGGTCGGCCCCGGCGAGGGCTGTCCTCACCCAAGCAGCGAGGGTCCAACCCTAGCCCTTGCCTGTGGCCGGCGAGGGCCGCGACGCCCTTGCTGTCCCTAGCCTGTGGCCGGTTGCTGATGTCAGCGATCTAGCCATGGGCCAAGGAAGGAGAAGAAGAAAAAAAGAAAAGGAAAAAAAGACAAAAAATCATTTCTAATTAGAAATTATTTTCGAGAACAAAATAGTTACCTATCGCACCCTTAATCTCTCTGTCGTTGAAAGAATGAAAGGGTCTCGGAAATTATTGCTAATGCCACCTTCCGTACACCATTTCTTGATTCTTGACTTAGTTCCTGTACAATGAAAAGCATGACAGGTAAATCTGTAGCTCGACTTCTAGATCTCTCTCTTGTGTGGCATTCTTGACACCGATGTTCTCAATTTAGGGTAGCGCAACTAAGTAGACTGGATTACAGGTAAAGACTTTGCTGAAATTAAACTCTTGGAACTATAATCCTTTTTCTATATATAATTTCATGTTCACCCTTCTCGGTTCAGGCTCGAGCTCGACGCCAGAGCTCGACGCCGTTCTGGCAGGTGGAGACTATGGGCAACGAGGTGGTGGCTCGGCTCGCAGTGGCAGGTGGCGACGAAGAGGCAAGCTTCGGCCGCACTGGAGAGGAGGGAGGCCAAACAATGAGTGGCAAGTTAGGGTTATGGATAATTGAATTTCTTCATTGTCGGTATCTTAGGTAAATGTAGAATAAACGACAGAGCAAAATCGGCGCGAGAATGGCCAAGCCGTAAGTAAAACGAGGTGTTGGACATAACCTGATGAAAGTGAGAATGCCAATTGTCGATATTCAAAAGTGAGGGTATAAATTGATATGGGGATGAAAACCCGAAAATGGCTTCGAAATTTTACTCTTGTTGTTGCTTATATAAACCACATTTCTTCCTATCCAATTTAAATTGCTACTTGTCAATTTTAGAACTATAGAGTATATATATCAAAGGAAAAATGACACAAACAGTCTTTGAACTTTGATCCAATGTGTAATGTGATCCCTAAACTTTTAATTTGTTTGTTGTGGTCCTTGAACTTTAACCCAATGTGCAATATGGTCCTTGAATTTTTAATTTGTTCAATGTCGTCCATGAACTTTTAGTCCATGTTCAATTTAGTCCCTAAACTATATTAAAATGTTCAATGTAGTCGCTGAACTATATTAAAATTTTCAATATAGTCCTTCCATTAATTCAAGTTTAGGGACTATATTAAATATTTTCATATAGTTCATGGACTACATTGAACATGTACAAAAAATTCAGGGATCATATTGAACAAATTAAAAGTTCAAGGACCACATTGAATATTAGGTCAAAGTTTAGGGACTAGATTGAATAAATTAAAGTTCAGGGTCTGCATTACATATTGGATCAAAGTTCAAAGACTGTTTATGTCATTACCCTTATATCTAAGAGACGAAATTTTCTACCGTTATTGAAAATAAAAGAGAGAGAAGAAAGAGGAAGAAGACACCACCCGCCCGGGTGGCGTTGCTGAGGCACTCTTCCTCTCGCAAAAGGTGTGGTCGAATCCCGACGCCGCAGGACTTAACCGACACTTGTGTGGTGGCTAGCACGTGTCGCCTCCAGAGTTTACCTCCCGGCTGTCGGTCGTGCGGAGGTTCCCTGGGTTACCAAAAAAAAGAAGAAAGAGAAAGAAGAGAAATCTTCACAGCGCGAAATGACAGCCAAATAATTTCCTAGGCGGCTTCACCTTTTCATTATTGATGGTAAATTATGAGGGGGACTCGAGTTTAAACCATAGTGATATGAAATGATGTGAAATTTTTTTTAAAAAAAATGTGGGGTCCAATTCCAAAAGATGAAAAATGAATCCCGAATCCTTAAAGTTGAGATTTTGTGTGTCGGTAAAGTTGATAGTTTCATACTTTAATAGACTGCATAGTAAAGTTTCCAATTTCACTTAGCTCCAATTTGTAAAAAAAAGAAGGGGAAAATGATCGATATATTACTCTTTTTTTTTGCAAATATTTAGCAGTTAAATTATGGATATCTAATTTTATTAGCATATAAAAGCAATTGTCGATCAAGCGCGGGCGGTATTCATCTCACGTTACGCATAGGTGAAATTATTATTTGTCCAAAGTGAGATCGGGCCGAGGATCAAGTATGGTGCCTCAACTAGAGCCAGAGTAGTAGCACGCCCGTAATCGATCGGATCGACACCATATGTTCTCGAAAATGGCATTTTGCAAAAGAAAGTATGTGAATTTTACATGTTAATATTCGGATACCGT